TTGCATGAGATTCTCTCAAGTGTGATGGTGGGTGGTCCTGAACAAGACCCTCTGATCTGATCTGGTCTAGAAAATGATCCATAATCTCTTTAATCCACAGACAGGCCGCTGTGGGCTCTCAGACGGTAATCTGCAGTGCACTGATAATCCACAGGTGCTGAAACACTACAACAACCTCAAGGATATGCTGATTATTGTATTTATTATATTTATTATTGGGCTTGATTGTATTCTGTTGTGAATAAACAGTATGAAATGACTCGCTTTGGAGCTTTAGCATTTTATTTTGGGCCAAAAGCATCTAAACAGAGAAGAATAAAGCCAAACAAGCTTCAGTTTCTACACTGCTTCTGATTCCCCAGAGGATTCTCAGATCCTGCAGTTTCATTTACATCCCCATTTCCAAAAAAGTTGGGATGCTGTGAAAATGTAAATAAAAACAAAACGCAATGATATGCAAATCATTGAAACCCTATATTTCATTGAAAATTGAACAAAGACAACATATAACATGTTGAAACTGAGAAATTCTATTGTTTTTGAAAAATATTTGCCCATTGTGAATTTGATGCCAACAACATGTTCCAAGAAAGTTGGGACGGGGGCAACAAAGGGCTTGTAAAGTTGTGTAATGCTAAAAAAACACCTGGTGGTTAATTGGAAACAGGTCAGTAACATGATTGGGTATAAAGAGCATCTCAGAGAGGCGGAGTCTTTCAGAAGTAAAGATGAGGAGGGGTTCACCACTCTGTGAAAGACTGCACCATCAAATAGTGCAACAATTCAAGAATAACGTTTCTCAACGTAAAATAGCAAAGAACTTCTGCTTTTCATCATCGACGGTACATAATAACATTAAAAGACTCAGAGAATCTGGAGAAATCTCTGTATGTAAGGGACAAAAACCAGTATTGGCTGGCTGTGATCTTTGGGCCCTCAGGCAGCACTGCATTAAAAACAGACATGATTCTGTAGTGGAAATCACTGCATGAGCTCAGAAACACTTCTAAAAACCACTGTCTGTGAACACAGTTCATCACTGCATCCACAAATGCATGTTTAAACTCTAAAACGCAAAGAAGAAACCATAAATAAACAGGATCCAAAAATGCTGCCACCTTCTCTGGGCCTGAGCTCATTTAAAATGGACTGAGGTGAAGTGGAAAAGTGTCCTGTGGATGAATCAACATTTGAAATTCTTTTTGGAAATCATGGACACTGTGTCCTCCGGGATAAAGACCACTCAGCTTGTTATCAGTGCACAGTTCAAAAGCCAGTATTCATGATGGTATAGGGGGCATTAGTGCACATGGCATGGGTGACATGCACATCTGTGAAGGCACCATTAATGCTGAATGATATATACATGTTTTGGCAACATATGCTGCCATCCAGACGACGTCTTTTTCAGGGAAGGCCTTAATTATTTCAGCAAGACAATGTTAAACCACATTCTGCATGTATTACAGCAGCATTCCTCCATATTGAAAGAGTCCGGGTGCTAAACTGACCTGCCTGCAGTCCAGACCTGTCACCACTGAAAACATTTGGATGGTTATGAAATGAAAAATACAACAAATGAGACTCTGAACTGATGAGCAGCTGAAATCCTGTATCAAACAAGAACAGGAAAACATTTCACTTTCTAAACTACAGCAGTGTCTCCTCAGTTCACAAACACAGAGTGTTGTTAAAGAAGAGGTGATGAAATACAGTGGTAAACAGGCCCCCGTCCCAACTTTTTTGGAACGTGTTGTCGGTATCAATTCAAAATGTGCATATATTTTTCAAAAAACAATAAAATTTCACTTTTTCAACATTTGTTATGTTGTCTTTGTAGTATTTCCTTTAAAAATATGGTTTATATAATTTGCACATCATTGCATTTTGTTTTTAACATTCTGCACAGCGTCCCAACTTTTTTGGAAATGTAACTGGTTCTAATTTCAGAGGCTGAAATTGGCTTCTTGTTCCGTTCCACCTTAAATGATGCAGCAGTTTCACTCCGGTTCCTGCTGTGTCTTTCTGGCACCTTGGCACCATTTAAGGTGGAATGGAAAATTTTAACCAGAAGAACCCAGTTCCAGCCAATTCATAGTTTTTGTGCTGATAGATGCTGGATGTTCTAAGATGTTCTAATTTCCACTGTGGTTCTAACAGGGAACTCAGCATCCTTTTTTAAGCATTGCAACTATTACTTTTTTAAGCCACGCCCACTATTTAATAACAATCAGATATAAAAGTGATGTATTGCTGGGAATCCTTCAGTTTTGAAGAGGGGACGCTAAGCCTGGTCACTCTCATTCAGTCTGGAGTGAAGGTGAGGTCAGGCGAATGGAGAGCGGGTTCGAGGGGGTCAAGGGGGAGTCAGCCGAGAGGAGCGCGCGGGGGGACAATGTCAACATGCAAATAGCGGCGGTCAGATTGACGGCGCGTTGGGCGGCTAATTTACATTCCCATATGTCTCCCATGAGCCCCTGCATTGTCTAAGCGTAATCAGATTTCAATGAGAACGACCACATGGACTACTGACCATGCAGTTCAGCTAGAGTGGCTTTAAAGGGGAAGTCAACCAATTTTTCACCAATTTCAACCGCTGAGGTGTAATCAGAGAGATTCAGAGTGGTTTGGTGTGAAATGGTTCAGACGTCTTTACAGTGGTGCTGATAGGAACCAGGGGTCGCCATGACTACAACACAAATATAGACATTTTATTTACTATCCAGAACCACCAGTGAACCTACACGAGTCTTCTGAGTTTATATGGAATGTTGGTGATGGAAAATAGTGGAAAATCTGAAATAATAAGTTTTCTATGGGGACTATTTTGCCTCACAGCGCCCTGCATGTATCCCTCCACCATGAATGGAGTTTAAGTTCTCTAAACTATCATAAAACAGTGTCTCAGTCATCAGGCAGTGAATTCATAACCATTTCATGTAGGAACTTTCTGTGAGGGAGCTTTTAGAGGGGGACGTCTGGTTCCTATCACCACCACTGTGAACAGTTCTGACTCGGTGAGTTTCTCTAGAAACCAAACCGCTCTGAACGTCTCTGTTTACATCTGAACCATTTAAACATGCAGAAATTAAAAAAAAATTGGTGGACTTTCCCTTTAATTTTATCAGTGAATGAACATGATGCTACTTCTCATTAGTGTAGTTCCACAAGATCAGTGCCAAATGCTAATTTAAAGTGTTTTATTATTAAAATATTACGTTTTAGTCCTCCACAGCTTCAACTGCATATTGCTCTTACCAAAAAGAAAAGCTAATTTCACAGATATCAGAAACCTTTTTTATATATTTGTGCAAAATAACTCCTATAAGTCGAACCCCAGTGCACTCAGCTGGTGAGCTTGTGAGAGAGGGGAGTATTACTTCCAAGCTTCAACCTTCTAATGTCAGTTTTTCACCAGTTAATTTATCATACATTTTCTGTTGAAACATCAAAGAAATCATACCACATCAGTCATGTGATGACTTGACCCTTGTTTTTTTTAATTAGAAAGTTGTTTTATTCCATTGGCAGATCATTTTCCTGATTCTAAGCCTTATTTCTTGAACTTGTAATGTCATTTTAACAATTCCTTACTAAGAAATATTGGACATATTGACTGGATTTAACATGTTTTCACATCTAAGCTAAAATAGTTTTTTAGCAGTGTAGAACGAAGCATTTCACACTAAACCACTGTGAACATCTTAACTGTTTAATTATGAAGAAATGTCAAAAAATCTGTAGCAGAACAAACATATTTGTCTTTCTATAGTCTAGCAAAGCAGTTTTACTGTTATAAATGTGGCTCAGATGCGTCTCAGTTCTCCTCCTGAAGTGGTTTGAATGATCAGATCCGTATCTGTTTAAATGCGTCTTGGCTGCGTTTGACCCTCAGATATACTCCTGATACTCAATACACGTGAAGTGACCAGGTGTGAATGGGCTCATTGTTATAAGTTAGACTCTAATCTTACAGTACATCAGCTAGCAAGATGGAGGCACCCAAAAATCCTGCTTAGAGCCCCCAAAAGGCTTGAGCTGGCCCTGTGCGTAAAGATGGATATATGTATTCCCAATTCTTGTATTCCTTACATCCCAACCCTGACTGTGCATGTAAATCCTACCATGATCTGAGGGACATCACTGATTGTAATTTTAAAGTATATTTATAACTATACTGCCTCACATGCACTTTTAAAGGAAGTTAAATCATATCTTTGTTCTCAGCTTGTTGCACTTAAAAGGGGAATTCCACATATTTTTTAAAAATTCTACATAATTAAGTCTTTGAGATGTAAACAGAGTCGTTCAGAGTGGTTCTCTGTTCTAGAGAAACTTACCGAGTCAGAACTGTTCACAGTGGTGGTGATAGGAACCAGACGTCCACCTCTAAAAGCTCCCTCACAGAAAGTTCCTACATGAAATGGTTATGAATTCACTGCCTGATGACTGAGACACTGTTTTATGATAGTTTAGAGAACTTAAACTCCATTCATGGTGGAGGGATACATGCAGGGCGCTGTGAGGCAAAATAGTCCCCAAAGAAAACTTATTATTTCAGATTTTCCACTATTTTCCATCATCAACATTCCATATAAACTCAGAAGACTCGTGTAGGTTCACTGGTGGTTCTGGATAGTAAATAAAATGTCTATATTTGTGTTGTAGTCATGGCGACCCCTGGTTCCCATCACCACCACTGTGAAGACATCAGAGTCTGTAAGTTTCTCTATAGTGAGCCATTTCACATCAAACCACTTTGAATGGCTCTGTTTACAACTCAAGGACTGAATTATTCAGAAATTTTGAGAAATTGGTGGAATGCCCCTCTAAGGGAATGAATGTTGTGTATGTGATTTTGGTGCATCGAAAGACAAATGGCAGTCATTTAATGATAAACAAAGTTTTGAATCTGAATCTAAATCTAACTTCTATTGTTTTGAGGTTTGAGTATGTTATTACAGCGTTCGACTGTACGATACAGACACAGCAGACAGAAATTAGGAATGAAAACACTGGAATATTCCTTTAATACACAATACACTGGAATTACATGCAGCAGCAGTCGAATTCAGATTAACTACATTCTCAAATTGTCCGTCACAGTCTCTCTCTCTGTTTACCTTTCCTTCATTTCTAGTGCTAAGGTACAACTCCAGCACCGCACGTTTGGCACGTAGCACACGTGAAGCAGACGAAGTTGAACCTGTCACTCTGAGACCTTCCCGCCCATCGGTGCTCCCCGCCGGACTCCATCGCTCCGGCCAGGCCGCAGTCCAGGCCCTCGGTTCTGTGACCCGGAGCCCAGTTCTGGTAGCAGCCAGTCTCTCTGTTTCTGATCCAGAACCAGAAGTTAAACGTGCAGGAATAGCGCAGGCCCAGCCACACGTAGCTGCTGGAAGCTAGGCTAGCTTTCTTCTCCACACTTTTCTGCTGCTGCTCAGAGAGAACGGACATCAGGTCCACATGATGTTCCCTGCAGTACCTCACTGCTTCACTCCACGTTAGGTTCTCCTTCACCAGAACCAGGTTATCTAAGAGAACGTGTGCATATGAATAAGTTTAAGGTGGAAAAAAAGCTTTGTGCTAATGGCAGAGGAAAAGGGTGTATTATAAATTAAATGTTTTAAAGCACCAACATCCTACATTTCTCTATGTCTATGTGCATGTATGCACTAAAACCAGTCACAAAAGCAGATGCATGTAAATGAGCACCATTCTGATTGGCCTCATTCAGGCTGAAACACTCCTTATAACTTCAGCTTGGGGCAGTCATGGGCTGGAGGTTAGGGAACCAGCCCTGTGACCTGTTCGATCGCCGGTTTGATCCCCTGAGCCTACAGTACATGACTCAAGTGCCCTTGAGCAAAACACCTAACCCCCAACTGCTCCCCGGATGCTGTGGATAGGGCTGCCCACCGCTCCGGTCAAGTCTGCTCACTGCCCCCTAGTGTGTGTGTGTGTTCACTAGTGTGTATGTGGTGTTTCACTGCACGGATGAGTTAAATGCGGAGGTGAAATTTCCCCGTTGTGGGACTAATAAGCGTCACTTACAACTAAAACTGAATAGGCGGGGCTAAACTGCCAGAGGCTGAATAGGCTGAACTATGTTCATTTGTTGGTTTTTGTGACATCATGGAAATAATCAATTCAAAAACAGCTGTTTCTTGCAGTTTAGTTTCCATATGGACCACAGAGCGAACAACACATTCTGAAACTTTAGCACTGTTTATGCGTTACACCAAGCTCTCTTATTTAAAAAAAGTTTTTTTATTTGAAATGATTTGTTTATTAAAATTAAAAACCCCACTACAGGTTCGATTTCTGTTTGGAATAGGGCTCTCAATGTAATCCTAGATTGGGATGTGATATGGCATAATATTTTCACTTCATGCAAAAATTTGTCTCATCAATTAATACATTTCAAGTCAGTTCACAGGATCTATGTAACGCCATGCCGCACCTTTCTGATGAAATTGTCCAGTAAAAAAGTTGTAATGGATGTAATTCAGGCTCTGTTGGGGATTATATTCATATGTTGGAGCTCTGTGGTACAAACACTGTCTGTTCTCCTAAATGCTGACAGTCCTTTATGTCCAGGTTTGCTTCTACTAGGCGATGATTTAATGTAAATCTTAATTTACAGCACAAAAAGAGTTTTAATGGCAGCCTTAACCGCTTCCAAGAAGTCTATTTTGAAGGGTTGGTTTGTGCCAGATATTCAGTTATCTTCATCTTGGCATTGCAATTTTTTGGATACACTTATTTTGGAACGGCTAGTCGGATTTCACAAAGCAACGGCTGCCACAATTCAGAACTGCTCAAATGCTATTGCTTTTATCGAGGCCTTGTAGGACCAGAGCGATTTAATTTAATTTCAATTTAATATTTCTTTTAAATTTTATTGTTTGATTGCTGGTCTATGGGCATGATGCGGACACTAACATAACAACCCCTCTCCCCCAATATGTGTTTGTGTTTTTTTTGTGTTTTCAGTGTTGCATTTTAAGCGTATTTGTATGTTATTTAAAAAAAACAATAAATATTGTTTATGTACCACATCAGACTTTTATTAAAAAAAAAACCATTTTCCATGAAATGGGTTAAAAAACATCAAATCTGCACAGTGTCTGAAGTTTGCTTCTTTAGTTTTCCTGGAGCTGTGAACGTAGCGAACAACCCTAAAAGTAACCATTGACCCAAATCCCCTTAGAAAGCGAAGCGCATCAGGGTTTAAACCTATAACCATGAACACCCAAAGAACCCTTGGCATGATTAAATGGTTCTTTGCATCATGAAAGGGTTCTTCAGATGGATGGAGAATGTGCTGTAGATGGTTCTAGGTAGAACAGATCAGAATAGAAGAAATGATATTACCTTCTAGTTGTTGTTGTATTCTTGCAATACTCCTCTCAGTCGTTGTATCTCGGACTGTTACGGTTGTTTGGGGCAGTATAGTCTCTGTATTCAGTGCCATCGTGGTTTCATTAGAAAACTCTGCAGATCTTCTTGTATGTTTTGGAGCGACGTTGGATCCTTGAGTTTGTGCATCGTTTCGGGACACTGTAGGTCCTGCTGTTGGCTCTACTGTGGGTTCTAATGGTGCTTTAACATTCTGAGATGCGCTAAATGCCGTATTCGTCTCAGCAGCAGGTTTGCTTGTGCGTAGAGGAGCAGTAGGCAGTGTTTGGGCTGGAGTAGAGTTGATCGAAGGTGCTGAGGGTGTGATTATATTGGAGAAACCGTCCATGATTTTAGCGGCTGGAACCTGAGTGTAGACGTGTAGAGGTGTAGTTGTTATTGTAGATTCTGGTGATGTGATCACTGAGGCTTGTGGGCTTTCTGTCGCTGTGTTAAGCAGCGTTGTGTGTGCTGTAACTCCTGGTTCTGATCCTGTACTGTCTACAGCACCATCAGGAGTATCTGATCCATTGCTGGTTGTCATCTGATCTGTTGGAACCTGGGATTGGGCAGTGGGGGATGGTATGTACCCTGCAGACAGTGTGATATCTGTCTCAGGAAATCTGCTTCTGTGTTGTGTAGCTGTTTGATTCATTTCCGAGGCAGCTGTTGTGTCCGGTTTCATCAGTGTTGGAGAAACATTAAGAGAAATGTTTTGGACGTTTGGTGACGTAGCTGCTGTTGGCGAGATCTGGTTTTGGATCGGTCTGGATGCTGGGGATGTGACCGACTGGGAAGGTGTGTTTTGCATTTTCAAAGCTGTAAAAGAAAAAACTGATAAGTGGTAAAACCAGGACTAGAAACTAGAGTGGACTGAAAAAATATAGACATTTTATTTACTATCCAGAACCACCAGTGAACCTACACGAGTCTTCTGAGTTTATATGGAATGTTGATGATGGAAAATAGTGGAAAATCTGAAATAATAAGTTTTCTTTGGGGACTATTTTGCCTCACAGCGCCCTGCATGTATCCCTCCACCATGAATGGAGTTTAAGTTCTCTAAACTATCATAAAACAGTGTCTCAGTCATCAGGCAGTGAATTCATAACCATTTCATGTAGGAACTTTCTGTGAGGGAGCTTTTAGAGGTGGACGTCTGGTTCCTATCACCACCACTGTGAACAGTTCTTTTTTACCCAATTTTCTCCTCAATTGGAGAATAGTCTCCAATTCCACCCACTAGTTCTGACTCCCCCCATCACACGATTCCCCCAGCTCTAGGAGAGTGAAGGCGAACACAGGCTTCCTCCGAGTCCTGTGAAGCTGTCCTGCCCACCCAGAGAGAGAGAGGTCAACCGTGATCTCATGGACTCCTGGCCACGGTCAGCTGTAGCATCACCGGGGATGACGGAGCCAAAGCCTAGACGGTTGCCTGAATGACTCTGTTTACATCTTCACCATTTAATTACGCTGAAATGTCGAAAAATCAGTGGCTCTTCAACACTTATAACTCCTAACTAGTTTGACCCTTCGATCATTTCATAGCAGCACAGGCTGAAGCCCAGCTGCAGCACACTGTATGTTGCTCTGAAAGAATCTGTGAGTATTTAAACACCTCAGTGTCGCTGCTGGACTGAGAACCAAAGACATCCAGCCAACAGCGTCCTGTGGGCAGCGTCCTGTGACCACTGATGAAGGACTAGAGGATGACCAACACAAACTGTGCAGCAGCAGATGAGCTATCGTCGCTGACTTTACATCTACAAGGTGGACTGACGAGGTAGGATTGTCTAATAGAGTGGACAGTGAGTGGACACAGTGTTTAAAAACTCCAGCAGCACTGCTGTGTCTGATCCACTCAGACCAGCACAACACACACTAACACACCACCACCACGTCAGTGTTACTGCAGTGCTGAGAATGACCCACCACCCAAATAGTACCTGCTCTGTGAGGGTCCATGGGGGTCCTGACCACTGAAGAACAGGGTAAAAGGGGGCTAACAAAGTATCAGAGAAACAGATGGACTACAGTCTGTAACTGTAGAACTACAGAGTGAAACTATACGGTCAGTGGAGCTGATAAAGTGGACAGTGTGTATATATATATAAATACGACTGTCAACTCACCTTCTTGGCAGATGAAGGCGTTAGCGTTACCACAGCTAACATCATTCCATCTTCCGGTGCGGTTCATTGTAGCCACCGTGCAGTCTTGTCCTTTGAGGTTATTCGGCTGATTGGTCTTCCAGAAGCGATAGGAGGAGTCGCTCTGGTCTGACCACACCCACGAATCTTTAAACAGCCCAATCCACACCTGCTGAAACTTGGAGGCCACGTTTACAGCCTGGTTTTCAGAAGAGTTCCTGGCACTGGCCAGATCTGTGTAGAAGGTTCTGCAGTGTTCCTGAGCTTCTCTCCAAGATCTGTTCACCTCCACCAGGACGTAGCCGCCGCCGATCTCTGTCATGAGTACAGTATTCACAACATAGAGGACACTTTAGGGTCACAATCTTTATGTTAGAAAGCCAGAAGACTGAGTGACCAATCAGATTACTGATAAGTGGCGGTAGTCGATGTTTATGTGTCTCAAACAGTACATCTGTGTTTAATACTCAACATAGATTTCAACCCATTCCAGTAAAATAGAAACGAATCGTGGCCTGTTTGCGTTTGTGTGCATTCTTGGAAACTGTATTATTTTTCTTTTGTGTAGATCTTTAAAAAAACATTAAACAGCATTTAATTGAGTTAATTTTAATCTAGAAAAGTGTTTCCTGAAGAAAATGCTGAGTGATTGTGCAGCTTAATCAATTTCGAGATGGTTGCCAGATGTTTCCTGTGGTATTTTAGGTGGTAACCAGCGTGTTGATAAGGTATCCAAGGTGGTTGCTTGGTCATTGATAGGTGGTTTCTACGGTGTCCCAGGTGGTTGCTAAGGTGTTGCTAGATTGTTGTTCTGGTATTCCTGGTGCTTGCTAGAGTGTTCCTAGGTTTTTGTTACGTGGTTGCTATGGTATCTTTAGGGGATGACTGAGTGTTGCTAGTGGTTGCTATGGTACCCAAGGTGGTCGCTAGGGTTTCGGTAAGTGGTTGCTAGATTGTTGGTATCTTTGGTGGTTACTAGAGTGTTGGGTAGGGGTTGCCATGGTACCAAAAGTGGATACTAGAGTGTTGCTAGGTTGTTGCTGTGAAATTCCAGGTTTTTTTCTAGGCTGTTGCTATGGTACCCAAGGTGGTTGCAAGAGTGTTGCTAGGTAATTGCTATGTAATTCTAGGTTTTTTCTAGGTTGTTGCTATGGTACACAAGGTGGTTGCTAGGGTGTTGTTAGGGTAGTTGCTATGTAATTCCAGGTTTTGCTAGGGTGTTGTTGTGGTACCCAAGGTGGTTGCTAGGGTGTTGTTAGGGTGTTGCCAGGTGGTATATATGGTGGTTATTAGTGGGTTGCTGGGTGGTTTTAGTGGTACTCAGGTGGTCACCAGGGTGTTGGTAGGTGGTTGCGGTGGTGTTCCAAGTGGTTACTAGTTCATTAGTAGGTGGTTGATATGGTGTCTTTGGTGGTTACTAGGGTGTTGGGTGGGGATTGCTACGGTACCAAAGGTGGTTGCTAGAGTGTTGCTAGGTAGTTGCTGTGGAATTCCCATTTTTTTCTAGGCTGTTGCCAGAGTACCCAAGGTGGTTGCTAGGGTTTTGTTAGGGTGTTGCCAGGTGATATACATGGTGGTTACTAGTGGGTTGCTAGGTGGTTGGTACAATACCCAAGATGGGTGTTGATAGGTGGTTGCTGTGGTTTTCCAAGTGGTTATTAGTGGTCATTTGGTGGTTGCTGTGGTATCTCTGATGGTTACTAGGGTGTTGGGTGGGGGTTGCTATGGTACCCAAGGTTGTCGCTTGAGTGTTGCTTGGTAATTGCTATAGAATTTCGGGTATTTTCTAGGGTGTTGCTGTGGTGGTTGCTAGGGTCTTGTTAGGGTGTTGCCAGGTGGTATATATGGTGGTTACTTGGGGGTTGCTAGGTGGTTGCAGTGGTGTTCCAGGTGATTGTTAGCGTGTGATATAAGTAAAGTACACAAAATTTTGCACAATATTTATTCATATGGGGAAAAAACATAATTTAAACATCACTGTATGGAAATTGCTTTGAAATGTGAAGTAAATCACTAAAATGTGCAGGAAATGTTCTGTTTGTAGTGACAGAAATGCAATCAGAAACGTTTTTTACCGTCGATGCATACAAACTGCCTCTGAGTGGAACAGCTATCTTCGACCCATTCTCCACTCGGCTCCATTACTGCACACCTGTCCTGATTAGAGTTCACATTCGGCTGCCCTCGTTTCCAGTTACGGAAGTCAGACTGCGGAGAAATATCCGGCAGTGACCAGTGCCACGTGTATATGTCTGTCCTGTGGAGTCCGATGTAAACGTTCTCAGTGCTTACGGCTGAAATGTTCCTCAGCAGGCCGCTCATGACGTCTGCATTGGTAATAGTGGCCAGATCAGAGTAGACCTCTCTGCAATACCTCTGAGCCTCCGTCCAGTTCTTTCTGTCAGCTATGAAGTGATACTGAAGAGGCTCGGAGCCCAAACATAGAGAGAAAAGCCCTGAGAGATCACAGAGAGATTCATTTAATTAATGTCTGTATCTAAAGTGTTATGTTTCATTTGGTGCAAAGCTTAAAGGTTTTTTAAACTGATCAAACTGTACGGCTAAAAAATGAGTTTTAACCACTTATCATATTAAATCTATTGCTTTGGTTAAACAGGACCATTTATTTTTAACAAAACAATAGAAAATCCAAATTTAATTGTGATTAAAAGTGTGAAAATCACATGTAATCAAGAAAATTCAGATGTATCCTGTTAGAGGTACATTCATCCTATAACTATACTAAGTATCATCACATTAGACAAATCAGGACAAGTTCTGTATATACAACTATTACTAATTCAGCAGAATATTAGTGTGTCCTAATTCTAATAAAGGCGATAGTCTGTTTAAAATAAAGATCTTTAAATGAATGAATGAATTATGTTACTGTTCAAAACTTTGAAATCACTATTTTCTACTTACGACAGAGCTGTGGATGATTTTAACAGAGAAAACTGCACAATAAATATATAATAAAATGTATATAAAGAATGTGAAATGTAATAAAAGATATAATAAAATGTATATAAAGAATGTTAAAGTTACATTTAAAATAGTAAATTGAATGAAGTTCAAATAAAATTCATATTCAAAGTCAAATTCAAGTAATAATAAAATTAATACTTAGAGTGAAATTTAAAGGTTAATATCCAGAATGAAGTTCTAGAAAGTTTTAGTGTTACAGTGTCCAAACAGATACCTGGAGTGAAGAGGATCAGAAACATTGCTGAGTGGAAGACGGAGGAACGATGGTGTCACTGCACACATTTCAGTAAAGCTCAGAGCATCGTGTTCTTTCCTTTAGTGAAGTCACGGGAGCTACACATGAAGAACAGAGCATTTATACACACACACACACACACACACACACACACACACACACACACACAGACACACACACGCACACACACACACAGACACACACACGCACGCACACACACACACACACACACACAGACACACACACACACACACACACACACACAGACACACACACGCACACACACACACACACACACACACACACAGACACGCACACACACACACACACAGACACACACATATATGTTTATGATTTTGGCCCATTTATTATTTTTTTGGCATGAGACTGAGAGAGATGTACACATGTATATATATATACATTTATATATAAGTATATATACATATGTATATATATGTATCGCTGTCGTCGGAACAAAACTTTGTATCCCCAAACTGGTAACTTTACAGGAGAGGGAAAAACCTACTTTACTTTTAATGTAAGTCAATGGAACCAGAATTTTTTCCAGGTCATTTTGGATCATTTCTTTTAGTCCATTCATCATGAAATTCACACACAATGTAAAGAGCAAACAGCCATTTTCAAATGGTGACAAAAACTGAAAAATGACAAAAATGGAGATTGTTCCGACAGCAGCGATATATACAGTTGTGCTCATAAGTTTACATACCCTGGCAGAATTTGTGATTTTTTGATATTTTTTCAGAGAATAATAATGATAATACAACAACTTTTCTTTTATTCATGGTTAGTGGTTGGGTCAAGCCATTTATTATTAAACAATTGTTTTTGCCCTTTTTTAAATCATAATGATATAAAAGTGATATATATATAGTTTTCAAACTTAAGTATTTTTTCTACAAGTTGTGACTCACAATTTCTATTTATTTGTTGAGTTTAACATACTGGGAAAAATATATGTATATTAACAACATAAAATCTAATATAAATATGCCATATCTTTTGCACAGGCAACGTTTTATGACGAGACGTTCTTGACATCAGAAAATCAATACAAATTATATGCTGACGTGTTGAAAGCTCAGAGCGGGATCTCGCTAATAAAAACGATGCGTTACTTTAAATCGAATTAAGCCATTTACTGTTTCCAGTGATGACTGAAGTCTTTTGTGCTAAGAGTGCTTCATGTCATCTACACCAATCAGGCATAACATTGTGACCACCTCCTTGTTTCTACACTCATTGTCCAGCATTGCTGCTGTGTCTGATCCACTCTCACCAGCACAACACACACTAACACACCACCACCACGTCAGTGTTACTGCAGTGCTGAGAATGATCCACCACCCAAATAGTACCTGCTCTGTGAGGGTCCATGGGGGTCCTGACCACTGAAGAACAGGGTAAAAGGGGGCTAACAAAGTATCAGAGAAACAGATGGACTACAGTCTGTAACTGTAGAACTACAAAGTGCACCTATATAGTAAGTGAGCGCAGAAACAAGGAATGGTCATAATGTTATGGCTGATCAGTGTATTTATTTACATTCTATATTAATATATATTCTATATCCTAAGTTTTGCTAGCACTGTTACCATGTTGTCTTGTTCAAACTCTTGTAGACTAAAACTGCTGTACCGTAGTTTTGATAAAAAAGCTAATTTAAGTACTCACATTCTCTGAGAGTGTGACGCATGTTCTCTGTACAGAACGTCCAGGCCTCTCTGTTCTGGGTGTAATAACGCGGCCGAGCCTGTCGACTCCTGGCCTACATGCTTTTGTGACTTTTTTCTTTGCTGCTTGTCTATCAGATGTATATCAGAGTGCAGACAGGTGAGGAGCGGAATGCACAGCGTTCCCAGGCCTTAAACTTCACTCACCTCCTTTTGTCTGAGTCAGTGTGACGGTGGGAAGCGATAAGCTGTGGCACCACGCGTTCCCCCAGAGAATGAAGATAAACAGGTTATGTCACTCGTAGGGCAGGATATCAGCCTTACACACCTGAAACTCACTTATATAAATAATATTCATATTATTTTGCCCTTGTGAGGCCCGAAGGCAACACACAGTCATCACACAGGCACACCTGACACCCCATTGCTCCCACTACAGTCCTCCTCCTTAAAACCAGTCTGCTCCATCTGTCAGTCTAGAATAAGTAGAGCTGAACAGAACAGAATGAGATGTAAATAATATTTATTAGTGAATATTAACAAACTTAACCTCTTATTCTCCAGGGTATATTTTGGTTTGTCCTTCTGAATTTTCGTGACCAAATCATAAGGCAAATTATTCAGTAACTGCATGAAATAAATGTAAATTTTTATTTATTTATTTTCTAATAAAGCTCCCCTCAAATTAACAGAACGTGTTTTATGATACACATATTGCTCTATGCTTACAATTTACTGCTGAAAGCCAAAAATCTTAGACGCTCTTTGTATTATTTTATAAAAATAATGTTTACAGAGCAGATCACTGAAGAGACGCCATCTGTTTATAGTTTATAGCCCAGATTTATGGAAAAATGGGTCGACTTTCAGTAGAAAAAAAATGAGTTCAGCTTCTTTTATTATAAGGGTTTAAAATGACATCACCATCTATTTGACTGGAAAGAAGACAGTTACAGCTCTCATACGACCCCCACCTTTAGAATGTAGCTTATGAAATACGAAAGTCATGAAGAATATGACGAAGTGCGTTTTGGACCACCGGTGGTCTCAAGGAGTTGAAGAGGTTAAGCACGGCACCTGAAAAATTATAGATATCACTATTATTAATTTCATCAGACCCGTTCAAACTGGCTCCCTCAGATTTCCTTTTACACATTTTCAAATATAAAATACTATTTATACGCTGAAATATTAATCATTATATCGACATCGCAATTTAAGAGAGTGCAATTTTCAAATCGCAAGAGCTTCTTTTTAAATTATTGCCTTCACTCTTAAAACAGATTCTTAAAAAACAGATTCTTAAAAAACAGATTCTTAAAAAATGGTCCTTTAGTAAAGACAACAGTTCTATGTAGAACCGTGAAAAACCAAAGGCCCACCTGCAAGCTTAAATGGTTCTCTGCATGGTGAAATGGTTCTTTAGACTGATGGAGAAAATGTTGGTTCTATATAGCACCAAAAAGGGTTCTGCTACTGTTACGATGACAAGCTTGTAACAACAGAAGAACATTTTGGTGTTATATAGAACTAAAACATTCTCCGTCAATCTGAAGAACCATTTCACCATGCAGAGAACCATTTCACCATGCAGAGAACCATTTCACCATACAGAGAACCATGCTGAAACACCTGAACTCAATAATTAATACACATATTTTTGGCCAACTTAATTGAAATTGGCCTTTTTCAAATATGAGACATATATTTCAGCTATGTATCATGTATATGAAAACCTTATTCATATGTGTATGGCACATTTTACTCACGCATACTAGCTTTATGTTATATAGTTCGTATCAGACATATCTGGGTCATTCTACAGAAACGTCCACGTCTCTCCATAGGAGTCACTGGTGTTACTGATCCTCATTGGTGCTACACATAATAAAGGAACACCAGAGACATTTTTAATGAACAATGCAGTTTACTAAACGGCTGCTACAGAGCATCAAACCACATGTTGTCAATCATGGAATATATATCACTAAAATATGGAATTTAATCCATTTGTGTTCTATTTTTTCACAATGACCTCAGAATAAAGTGGGTCACACCAGTGACTTCAGCTAAAAGCTTCATATGAAATCATGAGTTAAATGAGAAAATCTCTGATAACTGAAAGACTCAGTGGACTCACCCTGAGCTTTTCTTCATAGATCCTCAGAAAACAGGGAAAAGGAAGCTGTGATGTCATTAGTGTGATTTTTTTTCAGCAGTGTTTTTCAACTGTTTGAGACTTTTTGTCACTCAGTAACACCAGTGACACGACTCCTGGGGACCACAACTTTCATTATATATTTTATAATATTTATTTGGCATTTGTTTTCTTTATGTCATTTAATTCATATATTCCATAGTCATGTATAGATTATTGCAGTTAAAATTACCTCAAAATGTGGCCTCAGCCTTTACACATGACTGTGAGGGACGAGCTCTTCTGTGGTGCTTGGAATTCCATATGATTGATTTAAAAAACAATATTGCTAAATTGAGGCTCAAGAAGGTGTAATTGTTAAAATAACTTATTGTTTTAATTTTAAATATAATAAATTGGAACCCTAACATGTTTTTCAAGTGTAATATATCTGCAAACGCTAGGGACACAAAAATGGACGCTTCTGTAGAATGACCCATAAGTATGGTCCATGTATCAGACTTACAGTATATGTGTGATCCATATATTATGCATGTTCACCCACCTATCAGGCATATATGTATGACCCGTATAATGTGTCTATATGTAAAATATTTGATTCTTACATACACTATGTTTTAAATGAATCTGCCTATATGACCAAGTATACAATTTGTACATAAAACGATTTTTCATTTATTACATTTACATGTATGTAACATAATAAAGGTAAAAGAAAGGGTCAAAATGGTTCTCCCCGCTTTTTATGGCCTAATTTCACTCAGTCTGAGTGATTATGACTTTTGCCTGTGTTTGTTTGTTTGTTTGTTTGTTATAATGAAAGTGAACAGGCGCGCTCTGTCCACTAGGAGGCTGACTAGCAAGGTATTTGCCTGGATGCAAAAACATTCACTTCAAATTGCCTGGTTGGTAAAATATCCGCATTTATAGGCTCGTTTATTCACACTCTGCTTAGGTTCTGTGGTGAATCTCGGCGTCCGTTCGCTTTTTTTCCAGATTTTTCGACGATTTTAAAGCCAGATTTGTCAGCTAAGTGGCGAACTGAAGCGCCAGAACGGAGCGGTTGTGCAGCTCGGGATGCTAACGCTACAGCTAACTGGCTACCCGCGTCTCGCGCGTTTTAATGAATATTAAGGGCTTTTTACGGTTTAATAACGTAGACTTATGATTCCGGACCACAACTAGCAGCGTTTTATCCACAGAAAACAAGAAATGTTCTGAGAAGGCGCCACTAAACTCGGTCTTGTGTTCGTGTGACAACGCTAGCATAGCATAAGCTAGCTAGCTATCTACGTACAATGTAATTAGCTCAGCCAGCCTTTACTAATCTCTAATAACCGCTGTTAGCTTCGGGAAATGTCTCGCTTCCTCTCGCTTTTTAGTTCGGTTTGTGTTTAGAGATACGGTTTAAGAGTTTAATGCGTCGTTAATGTGATTTGCTAGCTAGCAGGCTGCGAAGGACGAGGCTGAAGTTGGCTTCTCATGCGATTTTTCCGTTCCACCTTAAACGGCGCAGCAGCTGCGTTGGGGCGCACACAGCAGAACGGAGTGGTGCGGCATTTAAGGTGGAACGGGAAAAAAATCGACATCAGCTTCGTAAAGCGAAGGCCTTTTCTGCTACAACAGTGATTTTAGATGTCGGGGACTGTTTATAGAGGCTTTGTTGGTAAACAGGGACGTTTTCGAAGGTTTTTAGACCGTTTTAGTGCTCGAGTTTCAGCCAGCCGGGTTGCCAGACATTCGATGGCTAACCTACCTGTTGTTGTTTTGTTCCAGTGTTACATATGAGCACAATTGTATGCAGGGAAAAATGTAATCCAGTGTTGTCCAAATTGCAGTCTAATTGTCCAGATGTAGCCAGGAAGCTTGCTAGCTGTCATTTTATACTAGGTTATGATACATTTTTGATATAATTGGCTGCAAATTAGCTGTAAACAGCAATATTGCCTGAAAAATGTGATTCAAGCGAAGACCAGCTGTTCGATTTGGCAAGATCCTGAAGTGTTATAAACCAGTCTGAGAGCAAATATGTCTGTGTCAAGTTCACTTATTCTGTCTCTCTCTCTCTCTGCAGCATCAAAGCCCAGTAGTCTCCTCTCAGTTGGTCAGCCTGGTCTGCATCTATGAACTCCTTGCCGCCCACCACCTCGGCCGTCAGCAGCCCTGTAAGCTCCCTGGACTCGCCGCTGTCCGTTATCAGCTCGTCCATCGGCTCTCCTGGTGTGCCCGGGACTCCTTCGGTGGGCTACGGACCCCTCAGCAACCCACAGGTTTGCCACACATCTGCCAAAATCACTTCATTGTCACGTAGGGATGTCCTGATCAGATCCAGAAGATCGGCGCATCCAGGCGTGCACTTAAGCAGATTAGGTATCGGCTACGTTAAGCCAGATCTTTGCCGTATGTTTTTGTGCTCTGTTTACTCCACTGTCATAAAGGTTACACAAACAGACATTATCGACAACAAGCCGCAGTGAGGCGCGTTTCCAGAAGATATCTGCTCTAAAACTGCCTGGATGTGTAGTGTGTTCACTACAAAAACTGTTGTGTGTATATATATATATATATATATACTAAATTTAATGTAATACTTTGTAACATTGTGATAAATTATGCTACAATATTGTGGATTTTGTCTGTGCGTAAAAAACAATGGCGTGTGTTTCCTCAAAGAGGAATAGTGGCACTGGAGCTTTAGAGTACAGAGACTTAAATACCTTTAAAACACTCCATTGGCTGCTTTATATCATGAACCCTCTGTTGAAGACAACTTTTGCACTGTTCGTGTTTTTATGGCCGTTTACAGTTTCTCTACAGCCAAATCAGGATTTCTTGCTTAGCCAGATAACTTTAACCTTACTTCAGTCTATCTCTGTACCATCTCGCAATGATGGATCACTGAGTGTGTTTACATGCACTCAATAATCTGATAAATGCAGAAAATCAGATTTTGTTAGTAATCCGATCAACACGTTTACGTGCACTTGAGTAATCAGATAATGGGGAAACTCCAGGTCTACATGAGTCAGACAGTAATCAGATTTCTGCTTTGTAACCAGCCAATAAACTCACAGAAGAAGACGAGACGTAAAACTCAAACTTCACACCGCGGCTGTTTTTAACATCGCACTGCTTTACCTGAAAATACGAACAAACATCGTCTAGAAGATGAAGAATATTTAAATCCTTTATTTCATGTTTGGTTTCAGCGCCGCTCCAACAGTGTTTTGCTGCGTCTCGCGACATCCACCATCTGATCTCATGCAGACTGAGAAATCAGATAGAAATCAGAGTCAGAGTTTACATGCACTGAGAAATCTGATTACTGAGCTAAAATCCAGCCTCTGTCGGATTTCTTAATCGGATTTCTAGATCGGAGTATGGTGTTTAAATGACCATTTGAGTAATCGGATAACTGCAGAAATCCGATTATGTTCGGATTATTGAGCGCTCGCTGTTTATTGGGCAACATCATCATGGCAACTGTTGTATCACCATATACATTATGGCTCAAAGTATGTGGACACCTGACCATCACACCTATATGAGCTTGTTGGACGTCCCATTCCAAAACCATAGGCATTAATATGGAGTTGCCCCCCTTTGCAGCTCTAACAGCTTCCACTCTTCTGGGAAGCTTCTACAAGATGTTGGAGAGAGTCTGTGGGAATTTGTGTCCATTCAGTTGAAAGAGCCGTTGTGAGGTCAGACACTGATGCTGGACGAGAGGGTCTGGCTCTCGATCTCCGTTATAGTTAATCCCAAAGGTGTTCAGAGGGGTTGAGGTCAGGGCTCTGTGAGGGCCACTGGAGTTCCTCCACACCAAACTCCTCAAACCATGTCTTTATGGAGCTGCTTTGTGCGCAGGGGCTCAGTCATGCTGGAACAGGAGAGGCTCTTCCCCAAACTGCTGCCATATAATTGTGTAAACATCACCCTTTACTGGAACTGAGGGGCCCAAACCCTGAAAAACAGCCCCGCCCATCATCCCTCCCCCACTAAACTTTACTGTTGGCACTGTGTATTTTGGTAGGTAACATCCACCAAACCCAGATTCATCATCAGACTGACAGATAGCGAAGCGTGATTCATCACTGTTTCCACTGCTGAGTCCAGTGGCGGCACTTTACTCCACTCCAGCCGACGCTTGGCATTGCGCATAGTGATCTTAGGCTTGTGTGCAGCTGCTCAGCTATGGAAACCAATTCCATGAGCTGCTGTTCTTCCTAATCAGCCCACATGAACATTAGCAAACCTTAACAAGCGCCTTAAACGTCACAACTAGCAAAGAGACAGAGCATCGTATTTCTGCGTTATGATAAACTACCCATAAAGCTGCAGTGGTAATGGTGTTCATTATCTATTTCTCAAATGCTTTTTGGTGAGAACAGCGTACAGGACGCCACTGAATTAATATTTTATCTTTGAGCTGAATATTTTTTAAATGTGAGTAAATCTGTTCCACTGTACAGCTCAGCAGTGTAACTCGCCCTCTTGCAAAGTGACAGTTTTTTTTGCTGCAATCGAACATTTTTCAACTTCATCCACTCCAGAAAAATAAGCAAAGATCAGAGCCCGCGTCCTGCCGTTGGTTATGGTAGCGTTTCTTTGGCTGAATAAACTCTGAAGTCAAGTCAAGTCAGGCTTTAATGTCATTTCAGCTCTATACAAGTACACAGTGAAACCAAACAACCTTCCTCCAGGACCAACACAGGAACACAAGTGCAGAACAATACAATAAACACAGCGCAGACAAAACAGCACAGTAAATAAATACGAAAGACTTACAGTAAATACAGAACAGGACACAGGCAGCACACTGTGATCAACTGGTAGGAGTGAATAGGATCGTGCGCCTCTAATTTTGATTGTTCTTTTCTCTCCTGCTGCTGTTAGATTAACTCCTCGATGTCTGAGCTGCATGCTGTCAGCAGCTCTGATGATGTGAAGCCACCATTTGGCCTGAAGTCTTCAGGGGGCACCGGGCCAATGCTGTCCCAGAAACGCCTCTGTGCCATCTGTGGAGACCGCTCGTCCGGTGAGTGATTTGGGTGGGGAGGTTTCAGATTGCCCTGTTGGAGACATGCCGCATAGTTAATTACAGCTAGCCTTGACTTAAATTCAGGCTTTAATGCTTTACAGTCCACCAGAGGAATGTATGTCATTGTTAATGATAAATTCCATCGGCGTACGCTTTTCTGAGCATTTTGAAGACGTCGTCAGTGCGTAAAGAATGCCGAACAGCTGCCTGGTTCGTTAAAAAACAGGGGTAATTAGGATGTAGTGCAGCGCTTGATGTGCAGTGTTTATTCAACATCACTGTACTCACAGTATTTGGGGAAAATATACAAATAATTGCGATTTTTCTGATTAATATTGCAACTGAGATTTAAATTGTGATTATTTTCTATAAATTAAAGTTCAGTCTTTTTTTGCCAAGAAGACCAGAATATTTGCTTTTTCTAGCTTGAGGCTTGACCCCTGAATGTACTGTGCCAGACAACCAGGAATTTGTGGTTGTGATGTCACAGTGCATGAAGGTTTGGTTGGATCTGATTGGCCTATATCATCTACAGGCAGTGTACAAGCGCAGTGTACGTTAGGTTAAATTTAAGACAATGTGTTTGATAACGTAGACCATCATTTTTTGAAAATTACACTCTCTTAAATTTTGATTTTGATATTAAAAACAATTAATCTTTCAGCCCTATTTGATGCACTATTAAATGTTCTGGCTTGGCAATGTCTGGACTGGCAAACCGTTGCCTGCTCTGCGTGCCATGGCTGAGCCTTTTGGAGCAGGAGTGAACTTTGTGGCATAACGTCTTCAGAAGTTGTTTTCTTTAAACCGTTTAATAGATTTAGGCAAAATATCCCTGCTTGGTTTCCGATGCATACCGATTTGCACAAGGTTGCAGCCCTGTGTTTCTTGTTAAATCAATAGTTTGTGGTTGTTTATTATGCATGTCAGTCAAACAGCCCTTTACTGTCAAAATACAGATTTCTTGGTCATATTAACCCTTTAACGTTGGCCACAGCGCTGCTGTGTCTGATCCACTCGTACCAGCACAACACACACTAACACACCACCACCACGTCAGTGTTACTGCAGTGCTGAGAATGATCCACCACCCAAATAGTACCTGCTCTGTGAGGGTCCATGGGGGTCCTGACCACTGAAGAACAGGGTAAAAGGGGGCTAACAAAGTATCAGAGAAACAGATGGACTACAGTCTGTAACTGTAGAACTACAAAGTGCTCCTATATAGTAAGTGGAGCTGATAAAATGGACAGTGAGCGTAGAAACAAGGAGGTGGTCAGAATGTCATGCCTGATCTGTGTATGTCTGATGATTGAGCCAAAAATGATGCTAATGTACTTCTGTCCATGTTTATAGATAATAGTGTCATACAGTGTCAGAAACTGCATAATTAGATTTATTAGAGATACTGAACATCTCTATGATAGTTTAGCTAACCTGCAGTTAGCACCGTGCGAATTACTTTATATAAAGCTTAATTACTTATTGGCTTCATTACCCTTGATGCGCTTGTGTAATACCGAAGAAGCAGTTTGGGACGTCTCGGGTGATTGGAAATGTGTGTTATTCCTTGACCGATAGATCACATGTTCATTGAAAGCGATCCACTGTTGCAGGTAAGCATTACGGGGTGTACAGCTGCGAGGGCTGTAAGGGCTTCTTCAAGCGCACAGTGAGGAAGGACCTGAGCTACATTTGCAGAGACAGCAAAGAGTGCCTCGTGGACAAGCGCCAGCGCAATCGCTGCCAGTACTGCCGCTACCAGAAGTGCCTGGCGATGGGGATGAAGAGAGAAGGTGAGCATCTCCAGTAGAGTTGCGCAAAATATCATTTGCTGGGCACTTTTTCAGATCCATCCTCTCTAAACTGAGAGGGAAAACAAAAAGAAAGTCAGAAAAGCCAGATCCCGCAGGCTGAGTGATCAGACCAGCTATGGGTATGCTGCACTGCTTTATCATCACATATGCACATGTGTGTTATCAGCTTTTTTCTGTGACCATATGGCCACAAATATCTGCGTTCTTAGAAAATACAACCCACTAGAAACTTGCGATAATTTGCAGGATCTGGCTTTTCTGACTCGCCGTGTGGAATTTTATCAGTTTATCAGCAGACGCTGAGTAGACAGACACCAGCAGAGATTGAGGGTGAATGTGCTCTTCAAAGGGGATTTCCACTGATTTTCTAAATTTCTGCGTAGTTAAGTGGTTAAGGCATAAACACAGTCGTTCAGAGCGGTTTGGTTTCTAGAGAAACTTAGAGTCAGAACTGTTCACAGTGGTGGTGATAGGAACCAGACGTCCACCTTTAAAAGCTCCCTCACAGAAAGTTCCTACATGAAATGGTTATGAATTCACTGCCTGATGACTGAGACACTGTTTTATGATAGTTTAGAGAACTTAAACTCCATTCATGGTGGAGGGATACATGCAGGGCTGAGCGATTTGGGTGGAGCTTAGTGTGTCCAATTTGGCCTGACTGCATGTCTTTGGACTGTGGGAGGAAACCCTCACAGACATGGGGAGAACATGCAAACTCCACACAGAAAGGACCCTGGTCGCCCAGCCGGGAATCGAACCCAGGCCATTCTTGCTGTGAGGCGACAGCGCTACCCACTGCGCCACTGTGCCGCCCTGATTTCGATAAAAAAACAATTAATCTTTCCGTTCTAGATACATGCAGGGGACCGTGAGGCAAAATAGTCCCCAAAGAAAACGTATTATTTCAGATTTTCCACTATTTTCCATCATCAACATTCCATATAAACTCAGAAGACTCGTGTAGGTTCACTGGTGGTTCTGGATAGTAAATAAAATGTCTATATTTGTGTTGTAGTCACGGCGACCCCTGGTTCCTATCACCACCACTGTAAAGACGTCTGAACCATTTCACACCAAACCACTCTGAATCACTCTGATTACATCTCACACACTGAATTATGCATAACTTTTGAAAAATCAGTAGAATTCCCCTTTAAATTCCCCTTTCATATACGACAAGGCAGATTGCGATCACAATCCGTGGCTATAGAATCAAAAGATCTTATTTTGTCTGTATCGTGCAGCTCTGTGTTTTGTGTCGGAGGAACCACGTTGTTTTATCCTATTGTGGTTTGTTGTTTTCAATGAAACCGTTGGAAGGAAGGTGTGATCTGCAGAGCTGATCTACACGGTACATTTAGAGCATGTTTACGCACCAGAGTCAGAAACAGAGTCTCTGTTGTTGGTTGGTGGCTCATTTGGAAGCATCATCAGCACCTTCTGATCATGTACTTCACGCGTGGGTCTGGTTTCGTCACCAGCTCTGCCTGCATTCCTGCATTCTGTTACGAAATAGACTTCCATTGTGGGTGGTCATGCAGAGTTAAAGACAATAGGCAGTTAAATGCAGTCTGTCAGTCGGAGCGATGGAAGCTGTGCTCTGTGTGGGTGGGGAAATACCCGCCCGGCTCAAACACAGTGATATAGCCACTGCTGAGATCTCAGATACGTCCATTCTCATGTGTTTGTTTTTATTTTAAAACACATTTCCTGTTTCCTTCTTCTGGTCTTGCGTTTGTAAGGTGTGGTCTCAAATAATGAACATCACATTTTTTCCTTCCAGTATCCACCAACAAGAGAGGTAGCACTGCTAAAATGCGCCTCACAATGATCAGCATCTATTTTCAGTTTGTCAAGCCAACTTACTGTTCTTCGTTTTATTGTTCTGGGATTTTTTGGGTATATTATTCCGCTAGAACCACAAAACTGCATGATTGTAGAGCCTATACAGGAATAGTGTGCTTATGCTTTTGGATCTGATCGCACTTACGGTTCTCGTACAGCGTTTGTTTGAACATGATTGTTTTTTCCCCCAAAGGAACGTCGAGAAACCTTAAAACTGCCACAAATAATGTCATTATGATATCAGAGCCGGTTTATGAGGAGTCTGGCCTCTTCTTATTTCCCCCATTATATAAAAACATGACTGAAAAGCACCAGCGGGCGCCCGCGAGCGTGTCCTGAATGAATGGAGTAAATGGAGCTAAATGGCTAAAAACAAAAAGTTAAAATAGTTTCTGATCACTCAGAACTTTACTTTAATTTTAGAAAGTAGACGGATGTATTGCGCTAAAAAAGCAAAGAAAACTCACCTGTATGTTTCCTTTTCTACAGCAAGCGAGTTTTGGGCAGCAGGACGCTAACATTACTGCTACTGAGAGGCGCTGTTTTAAACTCGAGCCGCTGTTTTAAACTCGAGTCTAAAAGCTCTTAAAAATATAACAGCAGTGTTAAAATGTTTATAATGTTACTCTGTTCAGAAAATGAATGTATTGTTTTATCTTAAAAATATTTAAGCATTTATAAACTGATTTTGCTCAAATGCTCCATATTAAGTCCATGGGAGCGCCCTCTAGCGTCTGAGAAACCCGGAAGACATTACAAAGTGGTGATTCTCTGTTTTCTGAATAGTACACACGCACATATATTAGTGATCACCTGGGATACCAAAGTAATGGCTTAGCAACACCTTAGCAACCACCTGGGATACCACTTAATGTTCATTCACAAACTTGCCACTTTTATTTTATGTTCTTAGTGCTTATTTACTGTAGAATATGACAAAAGCAGCTTAATCAGAATGCAAACTAGGTGGTTTATTGAAAAGTAAAGAACTGAACTGAACCTGAAAAAGTGCATTTTCGCCCTTTGCTTCTCTTTATTTCTGATGAGGAGTGAATCTTGTCTCTCTCCTCCTCAGCTGTCCAGGATGAGCGTCAGCGGAATAAGGAGCGCGAAGGGGATTATGAGTTCAGCTCTGCCGCCAACGAGGAGATGCCTGTGGAGAAGATCCTGGAAGCCGAGACGGCTGTGGAGCAGAAGACCGAGCTTCACTCTGATGGCAGCTCCGGGACCGGCTCTGTGAGTCCCATAATGACCTTTACTGGTTCTGAATCAGAACTTGCCCCTCTTCATATGGTGTCCTTGATGGTGGAGGTGGCAAAAGTGTAATAAAACAATGAGGGCTAGGTAGGGCTGGGCAATAAAACGATAACGATAATTATCGCAATCTAACTTTCCTCGATAGAACTATAAGAAATGTTTGATAAATTCTCGATATAATACACTGTTCTCACACTTCCACGTTCTAGCAACAGCCCTGGTGGCGTTTTCTACTGCAAGGAAAGTGACACTGCTCTGCTGTCGCCAGGAGAGGGCGCACTTCTGAGTTTTTGACATGATTGGGGGGGTGTCAAGGAGTGAAATGAGTCGCCAAATATACTTTAGCAATGTCTGAAATGTGGAGTTATACATTCCCTGTTCGAGTGGAGCGACCGACGATCTGTTCTCCTGTGACAGTGGTGTAACTGTACTGACCTACAGTGAACTCACCTCTTTACCAACATCCTAACAGCTTTAGCAGCGTTAAATCACGTCTGATTCTCACAGCTACAGCACTGTTACAGCGCCAGTCATATTTTAGTATTAGTGCATTCATGAACAACAAAAGTGAAAGAAAGAAGTGGGTTCATGTGAGTTACAGGCCTGATTTAAACGCAAGTAAACTGAGGAAGCTGTGAGGCAGTGGAGAGCGGGAGAGCACTGTCTTCCCAGGCTAGCTGTTTTTAGCAGCTGGCTAACTTGAAGCTGCACTCTGTCACTCCAAAACAGGGAGAATTGATGTTACTGTAGATCAAACACGAGACAAAAGCACCGATTTCAGTTTAAACGTACCTAAAAGGAGGACTCAGTTTGTCTGGTGTTGATATACTGCAGTTCACCTCTCAAAGTATCGATATCGACCGATATGAAATTTGTTTATCGTGATAACATTTCTGGCCATATCGGCGAGCTCTAGGGCTAGGCAATATAAGACGACATATTTCGTTATCGTGATAAATTACATCACAGTGTAATACAGTATGTTTTTCTGAACACATATAGGCCTTTTTGCAGTCGAGCCAAGAACCCCATCCTAGAACACTGCAACCCTTTACTGAGAGCTGCTCCTCCATAAATCATATACATACATACATACATACATCATCTAAACCGCTTATCCTTCTGGGTCGCGGTGGGGTGCTGGAGCCTATCCCAGCTGTCATTGGGCGGAAGGGAGGATACACCGTGGACAGGTCGCCAGTCCATCGCAGGGCAGACAGACAGACAGACATACACACTCACACCTAGGGGCAATTCAGCGTGTCCAATCAGCCTGACTGCATGTCTTTGGACTGTGGGAGGAAACCGGAGTACCCGGAGGAAACCCACGCAGACACGGGGAGAACAGGCAAACTCCACACAGAAATGACCCTGGTCACCCGGCCGGGAATCGAACCCAGGCCCTTCTTGCTGTGAGGCGACAGCGCTACCCACTGCGCCGCCGTGCCGCCTTTCCATAAATCATATCTTACATTTTTAATTCTAAAGTCATGATATAATTAGGGCTGGGTGATATGACAGTATATATAGTTATCATGATGAATTATGTCACAATACAATATTATAGTGAGCTTTTCTAAACATTTACTGATGTATATCATCAGTACTTGTGGACACTGACCAACTGCATGTTTCATTATAAAGAGAGCAAAGTTAGTCCTGTTTAACTGGATTAAGTGTTGAGTAAAAATCATTGTGTTCAGTTTTTAAATATAAATATGTGGTATCATGAAAATTTCATGTGTCTCATTATTATATTTTCGCTGCTCCATTCACAATTTTTGACAATTTATGATAGTGATAAATGTTTATATTGTCCAGCCCTACCTGATGGGCTGAAGCTATAGCAGTTATCACTAGTGACCAGAAAGTCAACTAGAAACCACCTGACCCCTGATCTGAAGGCAAGTTCCTGTTGTAATGCTACCCTTTCTGTCCTCCAGCCCAGTGATCCGGTGACTAACATCTGTCAGGCAGCAGATAAACAGCTGTTCAGCCTGGTGGAGTGGGCCAAGCGCATCCCTCACTTCTCCGAGCTGCCCCTGGACGACCAGGTCGTTCTGCTCCGAGCAGGTAATGAGCCAGTACAGAGGGGGACGAGGTACGATTCCTCTGTACTTAAAGGACTAAAACGAAATACACTAAAATAATACACTCTTAAGAAGATGGTGCTTCAAGGGTTCTTTAGTAAAGAAAATGGTTTTATATAGAACCTTTTTCAAAGGAGTTCTATATAGCACCCAGAACGACTCTTCTATTGTTACAGTGTCAAGCTTGTAACAGTAGAAGAACCCTTTTGGGTGCTGTATAGAAATTTCAAACAGGTTCTATATAGAACCACTTTCTCTAGTAAATAACGCTTGAAGCAGCATCTTTTTTAAGCGTGTACTTGAGTAAAGGATCACATAATACGCCTCCCTGTACTTTCATTATTGCGCTGCCTTTTTATCTCAGGATAGATCTTATTGCATATTTTTGTATATTTCTATTTGTATATATGCCTGTAGGTGTTTTTTGTATATATTCTTTTTTATACTGTATCACCCTTATTATTATAACTGCCCTGTGTTGTGTGACTGATACTGGCTGTTGAATGTCCTTTGGGATCAATCAAGTATCTGTCTATCTATCTGTCTATCTATCTATCTATCTATCTATCTATCTGTCTCTCTATCTGTCTCTCTATCTGTCTATCTATCTATCTATCTATCTATCTATCTATCTATCTGTCTCTCTATCTGTCTCTCTATCTGTCTATCTATCTATCTATCTATCTATCTATCTATCTATCTATCTGTCTCTCTATCTGTCTCTCTATCTGTCTATCTCAAAGTAAGGAGATTTTGCCCATGGTCTTAAATGAAAACAACATTCAAGATGTCCAGTGCTTAAATAAAGTCTTAAAATAGTTAAAATGTTTTTTTAAATTGATCCATGTGGATCACGGCTCAGCTCTCAAATACTACTAGAGTAAAAAGTAGATTTACTTTGGGAAAACTGCTACTTAAGTAAAAGTATTGTATTTGATTAAAAGTACAGAAATATTTGCTAGTGGATGTACTAAAGTAAAGTAAAAGTACGAGTTATTATTCTTTGTAACATATTTTTTGATGAGCAAGTTTGATTACGGGGGCCTGAATAACTGTAGAAATGAAAAACTACTTTTATAAGATCACTTTTATCATTAAACTTGATTATTTATTCACAAGCTAGTACTTTTGTGCTTTCACTCTATAGTATTTTACCAAGAATACAGAAGTATTGCACATCCATAACTGCTACAAGATCATCTTACGACCCTGACAGCTTGTTTTTACTGGACTGTTTCGCAAAAGAGAGGTTCTTGTGAAAGAGGAATTATGAAAGAGGGATGTAAAACCACAGAAATACCGTAAGTGGACAAAAAATAAATGCAAGAAAATTGTAGGAAATGGGCTTTTCAGCACTTCTTACTATTTCCTGTAGCAGAGATTTAGGAGTTTGTGTAAGTCAGGTATTAAGGTGGCAGTGGATTTAAGGTAGCAGTGTATTTAAGGTATGTTCAGTATATACAGTATTTTCAGCATATGCAATTGCTCTGTCTGTGTATCTCAGGGTGGAATGAGCTCCTGATTGCCTCGTTCTCTCACCGTTCAATCGGGGTGAAGGACGGGCTCCTTCTGGCCACTGGTCTGCACGTGCCCAGAGACAGCGTCCACAACACCGGGGTCGAGGCCATCTTTGACAGGTAGCACTTTAATGCAGTTATAGAGCTGCTTAATTAAAATCATAATTATTTTGGTCAGTATAGAGATTAGTTATTTAACACGATTACTCATTGACTGTACATGCATTGATACAACTTTTTTTTTTTTTGTATTTTAACAGTGGATTTCCATCAGTTTTATATTATTCAAGTGAAAAACAAATGAAAAAATAAAGGCTGCGCTGGATTTATAACACAAGACAAAATAAGAACATCGTTGCAAAACAGAAAATGGCAAATAATTGTTTTATCTTCATTACCTTTTTTTCATAATTGTTGGAAGCCAGAATCATATCTGAAAATAAAATTTGATTAATCGCCCAGCCCTAACCTTCGGAAGCCAAAATTGTAATTGGAAATAATATTTGATTTGTCGCCCAGCGTTAACCGTTGGACGGCAGTCTCGTAATTGAAAATTAAATTTGAATTATCACCCAGCCCTAATCGTTAGAAGCCAAAATCATAATTGAAAATAAAATGATTAATTGCTCGGCTCTAATCGATGGAATCCAAAATCTTTATTAAAAAATAAAACTCAATTAATTGCCCAGCCATAATCGTTAGAAGCCAGAATTGTAATTGAAAATAAAATTTGATTAATCACCCAGCCCTACTATCTTATAGAGGTTTAAACCACAGTAATTATCATAGCATAACTTCATCTTTGCATTTAATTATTTACACCAGCTTGTATAAATTCTTGGTGTCCTCCAACATGCTGCACTAACAATAGTGGATCTGATCCAGCCAATCTAGAACTTGTTGGAGCAGGTATGGCAGGTTGTAGCTGGAACTAGACTCTGCAGGATGGTAAAGGGGTTGAGGACGACTGCGTTATGATCTCTCTGATGGAGACATTTACCAAGAGAAAGCTAACCTTGCGAACATAACTGATCTATCAAATACATTGATTTTCCCAATTGAATGCAGATCCAGCAGTAAACTGAATAAGAACCTTCTTTAAGGTTCTCCATATAAAATCTGGATGATGTTTTCAGTGAGTGGACACAGCACCACTCATTTCTAACCGCTTCACTCGCGCTGATGTGTTCAGTCCTGCTTCCGTGCTGTATCAGGCTGGACTGAGGGCTGTCAATCACTACTTATTAGAATATTAGACCACGCCCACACACTTCAAATAGGTCTGATCAGTAGTTTTTAAGGCATATTTAATTATATTTACTGTTTAATTCATTCAGACTTCGCTGGTTGTTTAATATAACACTTAATTTTAGAATCATATGCTAATTTTTTTCCCCCTCTTATAACTCCGTGTTTGTCTTCACAGAGAGAGTGCACACAGCGCTGAGGTGGGGGCCATATTCGACAGGTAACTATCTAAACACATCTAGCTGCTGTAGTGTAATTGGCTATTCAGCAGTAATGAATTGTGGGATACGTTGTAGTGGAGAAGTGTGAATACACAGCATCTTGTGACCTTTTTCCAGCCTAAAAGTGAAACTGATCTTGTTATTTATCCATGACTCTGTCTCTCTGCCTGTTTCTCTTTCCCTCTGTGTTGTGTTTAGGGTGTTAACTGAGCTGGTCAATAAGATGCGGGATATGCAAATGGACAAGGCGGAGCTGGGCTGTCTGCGGGCCATCGTCCTCTTTAACCCAGGTACAGTGATCACGTTATAATGATTTAACTGAAAGTATCGACACTGACTTTAAAGTGGTAAAAATTCCAGTAGCTGATAATATTGACCAATATAATTTAATACGATTGATTAAACAGACTTCAGTCGGGAGGTGCTTTACTGACTGAGGTAATGAACAGTTTTCAGTATAAATTTTTACAATATAAATTGCCCTGATATAAATCAGGGCTGGGCAGTATGATGATATTTATCATAATCACAAATATAGACATTTTATTTACTATCCAGAACCACCAGTGAACCTACACGAGTCTTCTGAGTTTATATGGAATGTTGATGATGGAAAATAGTGGAAAATCTGAAATAATAAGTTTTCTTTGCCTCACAATTCAAAGTCAAATTTCTTCTCAGAACAACAGCAGAAATCTTAAATAATATAAATCAGAGCTGTATGACGATACCTATTGCAATTTGTGTCTCAAATTGCTTTTCACAGTGTGTTGTGCAGCACAGTGTGTGAAATGTTAAATATAAATGATTTTTACTAACAGATTTTGATAGTATTTATAGTAAAAATGGCACTTCTGGTTGTGTTTTTTTCTCAAACCTCTAAAAAACTAAATATTGTGATGTGTCTTGTATTGAGACAATATAACAGCTAGAAGTTTTATTATACACCGATCAGGCATAACATTCTGACCACCTCCTTGTTTCTGCACTCATTGTCCATTTTATCAGCTCCACTTACTATATAGGTGCACTTTGTAGTTCTACAGTTACAGACTGTAGTCCATCTGTTTCTCTGATACTTTGTTAGCCCCCTTTTACCCTGTTCTTCAGTGGTCAGGACCCCCATGGACCCTCACAGAGCAGGTACTGTTTGGGTGGTGGATCATTCTCAGCACTGCAGTAACACTGACGTGGTGGTGGTGTGTTAGTGTGTGTTGCGCTGGTCTGAGTGGATCAGACACAGCAGTGCTGCCGGAGTTTTTAAACACCTCAGTGTCACTGCTGGACTGAGAATAGTCCACCTACCAAAAATATCCAGCCAACAGCGTCCTGTGGTGGACTGACAAGGTAGGAGTGTCTAATAGAGTGGACAGTGAGTGGACACAGTGTTTAAAAACTCCAGCAGCACTGCTGTGTCTGATCCACTCGCACCAGCACAACACACACTAACACACCACCACCACGTCAGTGTTACTGCAGTGCTGAGAATGACCCACCACCCAATACTACCTGTTCTCTGGGGGTCCAGACCACTAAAGAACAGGGTAACAAAGTATGCAGTGAAACAGATGGACTACAGTCTGTAACTGTAGAACTACAGAGTGAGACTATATGATGATGGTCAAAGTCGATGTCTTCCTGTAGCTGGCTGGATTTCCTTGCTGTGGATTTATTTGGAAGAGCAGTTAAATGATGGTATCCTAACAGCTGTCATCATGTAGGTTGTTTATAGATGCATTGACTATTTCTGTATGTTGTTGCTTAGATGCCAAAGGTTTGACTAACACCAGTGAGGTGGAGCTCCTGCGAGAGAGAGTGTATGCGTCCCTGGAGGCCTACTGCAGGCAGAAATATCCTGAACAACAGGGCAGGTATGATCATCAACTCTGCTAGTTCACTTAGGGCTCTGCTATCACATGCTAATTGATATATGAATTGAGTGTGTGAGATGTAATCAGAGTGATTCAGAGTGGTTTGGTGTGAAATGGTTCACATGTCTTTACATTGGTGGTGATAGGAACCAGGGGTCGCCATGACTACAACACAAATATAGACATTTTATTTACTATCCAGAACCACCAGTGAACCTACACGAGTCTTCTGAGTTTTATAAGGGACTATTTTGCCTCACAGCGCCCTGCATGTATCCCTCCACCATGAATGGAGTTTAAGTTCTCTAAACTATCATAAAACAGTGTCTCAGTCATCAGGCAGTGAATTCATAACCATTTCATGTAGGAACTTTCTGTGAGGGAGCTTTTAGAGGTGGACGTCTGGTTCCTATCACCACCACTGTGAACAGTTCTGACTCCAGTACAGAGAGTTTCACTCAGGGCTGAAAGGTTTTTAACTCGAAATCACAATACAGCGCAGACTTTGTTTACACTGTTAGCGGTTTGAACCCGTTTCCTCCGTAACGGCACTTTTTATCTTAATTTATTCCTAATTTTTAGCTTGATTTTTTTTAATTATCCTAATTTAATTTCTGATTAGATTTTGAATTTTTTTATCTTTTTAAATCTATTGTTTTAATCATGTTTTGATTGACAGCACTGTGTAACAGATTCTAATCCCCTTTAACATTGGAGAAACAACATCAGGGAGTGTGTATCAGTGTTTATTAAAAGTTTTTTTTTCTTTTTAGGTTTGCTAAGCTCCTCCTCCGGCTGCCTGCGCTGCGCTCCATTGGCCTGAAGTGTCTGGAGCACCTTTTCTTCTTCAAGCTAATCGGCGACACCCCCATCGACACGTTCCTGATGGAGATGCTGGAGGCTCCCCACTAGGCCGGCCCTGAGGCATGCTGGGAGACGGGGCTCTGCCACCCGAGATCACTGTGACTGCACTTTTTTCGATCCCAGGGCAACTTCAGCAATTTGGCCAGCCTCCGGTCTGGGGTACACTTTCATTATCGCGTTTCTCTTCATAAGTGCACCACAGAGTCTAGAGACCCAAAACTTGCCATGAACTTAGAATATGTTGGTGCTACGTTTCAGTTGTAAGTCTTGAATTCTTGAGGAATATATATTTTTTTTCTTTTTTTTTTTAAGAAAAGATTGGAACCTTCAGTTCCCTTTTACTAGCTTACATAAAAGTGGGGTTTACATTTTGATAGAAACCATTTGAGTGGATATAAGCTTTAATTGTCAGTGAGTGTGCTCCTTCATCATCTCTTCAGTTGTTTTTTTAAATCCCTAAGTGACTAATTTATTCAGCCCAGACCTTAAAAGACTGGCGGAAATTTAATTGAACGAACAGTTTAAACTGTTTTTTAAAAACTGTTTCTAAACTGAATAAAAATCACTCTACCGGTTTTGGGTAGTCTGGCCAAATAAACATATATATGCAATGAAGCTCGAAATCATGCACAAAAAGTGAGGGGAACGGCTCTTTAATGTCCATAAGGACATGCATTATGATGTGCGATTAGCAGAATAATGTTAGACCTGTATGTTGGGGGTCTTAGCATGCACTCGTTTTAAAGGGGAACTCCACCAAATTTTCAAAATCACTGCAAGTTCAGTCTTTGAGATGTAACGCCGTTCAGAGTGGTTCGATGCGACACGCTTGATTTTACACTCTTAAAAAAGATGGTTCTTCACGGGTTCTTTAGTAAAGAAAATGGTTTTATATAGAACCAGGAACACCCACAGAACCCTTTGTATGACTAAAGGGTTCTTTGCATCGTGAATTGGTTCTTAAGATTGATGGAGAATGTGCTGAAGATGGTTCTGTTTAGAGCCATTTTGATAAGGGTTCTGTTATTGTTACGATGTCAAGCTTGTAGCAGTAGATGAACACTTTTCAAAAGGTTTTATGTGCAAACGACACATTTTCCCATCAATGAAGAACCCTTTTATGATGCAAAGAACCCTTTAATCTTTGAGTGTTCATGGTTCTTCATAGAACCTTTTTCTTTTCTAAAGAACCCTTGAAGAACCTTCCTTTTTATTGTGTAGAGAAACTTTAGGGCCGACACGTGTTTCTTTACAATGGTGCTGATGGAAACCAGGGGTCACGATGTCTACAGTATCGGTTAATGATGGTGAAAAAGTGGTAAATCGGAAAAAATAAGTTTTCTTTGGGGACGATTTTGCCTCGCAGTGCCCTGCACGACTCCTTCCACCACAAATGAATGAATCGATTTTAAAATGCATTATTTTTAGGCCAAAACCAGACGTCGGGTTCCCATCAGCACCTGCATGAACTAACATCAAACCACTCGGAATGATCTCGAACATTGAATTGAGCAGAAATTTGAAAATTTCACCCCTTTAAATAAGACTGTGAGTGCCTGAATGATCAATGCTTGACACGTTGTACTGTTTATTTTTGTTTTTCTTTTTAAAGTTTTGATATGTTTGGTGAAAAAATGGAAAGTTAACTAGGAATAAATAATCACGTCACTACATTTAGCCACGCATTGCAATTCTGACTGCAGTGTTCCCGGGTGAATTCATCAAAACCTGCCAGTAACATTGCTTTGGGTGTTTTGTTTTGTTTTTATTTTTATTTTTGTTCATTTTCCTTCTCCAGTTATCATTCAATTTGTAAATGCACGCTTGTTTTCATCACATATCAGATAACCGTATAAACTTGAGTTATGATTCCTTACGTTAAACTGCACTATACAAATTAAAATGTCATCAAATGTTTGACCAAGTAAAGGGTCATATTTTTATATTCTTTGGTGCTTCAAAAATAGACGTTTTGATGTTACATCCCTGAAAGAAAGACGGAAAAAAGACGCACATGTTTAAAAATAGTTCTAGATAAAGCTGAATCTGAGCAATACTAAATTGAACCTGCAAATTTTCGCGCAAGCCCTCCTCTCATCTCTCCGAGGGGCCGACGAATGAATCGACTGTTTGTTTGTTATTTGACTCTTCCAACGTGTAATTTATATATGAGTAACTTCTAGTACTGTGCAAAACCTTATCGTTCAGGGACATTGAAAAGCGATCAGTTAGTTAAAAATAGACAGAGTAGAAATCTATATATCTGTTCCCATGCTTTTATCATTGCTTTTAGTTTTTAGTCGATGTGTACATCTAAAAAAAAAAATTAAAAAGTTAAAAAGAAAGGAAAAAAAAGCCTTAGTTTGCACTGGATTTCTTACGAATCCCAGTCTAATGACTTCGTCTTTTCTCCTCTGTCTACGGAAGCCCTGAGAGGACCTTTTATTTACTCTGTTTCGCTGTAATGGAGTTGTTTATATCGTTATCACAAGATCACAAATGTTGTTTGAGGATCATTTTCTCAAGAAAACGAGTATTTTTTTATTTTTTTTGTCATTTTCTTTAGGAAATAGGACTAGAAGCTAAACAGACAGCTAGACAAGTATCAGACAGTGTCCATGAGCGTATTTATGTTTCATTTGTGATTCGGAACATAAAGCGTTTTGCTGAGATGCTGGTGCATCAAGTTCACATGCCGTTAGGGTGGGTGAAGCTTTGTGCCGACAGTCGATTCATGATTCACTGGTTTCTAATATGATGCAGAAGCGATTTCTATAAAGCCGGGGTGACACTACAGCAGGGGTCGCGACCCAAATGTTAAGAAGTGCCATTTTGTCCTTTTAGCAACAATCAAACCACCTTGAGAGCCACAACATTTTATGTCCATTTTACCATCTTGGCTGTAAATGTGTCTCAGTATGTGCTGATGTCCTAGTAAAGACTAAAAATATAATATAAACGAAAACGCAGACTTACTTTGCTCTGCTTTAAGCTTTAGCTCAGCTATAGCTGCTTTTCTCACATCTCCAGCAGGAAACTTTTCCAAAAGTAGAACGGTTTCTTGTAAAATGTCTCAGCGTTAGATTTATTACGAGGCTGAAATCAGCTTCTCGTTCTCCAGCTTTTTCTTTCTTTCTTTTTTCTTTCCACCTTAAATGGTGCCTGAAAATTCGAACGAGAAGCTGGCGAATGAGAAACTGACTTCAGCTTTGCGACTTTTTAGAGTTTGACAGTTTATCGTTGCAGAATAAACGTATCAGGAAACCAGCTGGAGTGATTATAAAGACAAATAAGTCCATTCAGCTCCAAATTATCGATGTTCGTCTTCAGGGTTAAAGGGTGAATCAGCAGTTCTACATTAACTCCAGAGTTTAAGACCATTTATTGTTAAACTGTGTTGAACGATCAGCAGAGCTTTATTTTACTGTAAAGGAGGATTATTTTATTTTTACCTACAAATCTGATTCAGCTGTGGAGCCACAACAGGGCAGTAAAAGAGCCATATGCAGCTCTGGAGCCGTGTGTTGCCGACCCCTGCATTGCATGAACCCAATTTTAGCCCCAGTTCTCTGTTTGGGTCTGTGCTGGTCGTGTCTAGTCTGCAGATTTTGGGACAGTCGAAGTTGACAGTAGGGAGAGTAAATGGAGCACAGACTCAACATTAGAACTTTTCTTTTACTGTATTTTCTAATTAAGCTAATACTGAATTGTACTGAAAATTTTAAAAATTGCTGGAATTGCCCTTTAAGGTCTTCAGCATCCCACCAGCGTTACTGTTATTCCTCGCACTGCACTCACTTACGTTTTTAAATCGCTGAGCGCCAACCACCAAATTCCCCCATAATTCAGTGTGTGAGGTGTAATCAGAGAGATTCAGAGTGGTTTGGTGTGAAATGGTTCAGATGTCTTTACAGTGGTGGTGATAGGAACCAGGGGTCGCCATGACTACAACACAGATATAGACATTTTATTTACTATCCAGAACCACCAGTGAACCTACACGAGTCTTCTGAGTTCATATGAATGTTGATGATGGAAAATAGTGGAAAATCTGAAATAATAAGTTTCTTTGGGGACTATTTTGTCTCACAGCGCCCTGCATGTATCCCTCCACCATGAATGGAGTTTAAGTTCTCTAAACTATCATAAAACAGTGTCTCAGTCATCAGGCAGTGAATTCATAACCATTTCATGTAGGAACTTTCTGTGAGGGAGCTTTTAGAGGTGGACGTCTGGTTCCTATCACCACCACTGTGAACAGTTCTGACTCGGTAAGTTTCTCTAGAAACCAAACCGCTCTTAACGACTCTGTTTACATCGTAACCAGTTAATTATGGAGGAATTTTGAAAAATAGGTGGATGTGTGCAGGTATGTTCAGTGTGATTAGTGTTGTTGTCTTTTGCACAGTAAACATTAACGTTAGTGATGTTGCCGCTCAAATGCTGAAATAAACACGGCCGGTCAGCTTAAACAGAAATACAGTAAAATATTTTTCTTTTCTCTCATTAATCTGTCCACAGAATATATTTAGATTCTCCTGGTCGCTAAAAAGTTCAGCTTCTGCCAGAGAAACATTGCAAGTCTTTTAGGAATGACTTGAATGGTTTATAATGTTTCTCAGAGAAGCCTGAATTGGTGAATTGAATCTTTTTACAGGAATCGATTTTGAAGGGAGTCTAAAAGCGTCTCACTTTATTTGGACAGTGCGCTATAGATGACCTACAGATGTTCAAATTGTTGACAAACTGTATAGAAACTCAGTTGATTGTAAACAGTGGTGGGGTTAGGGTTAGGATTTGGACCAGGGTTAGGGCCAGGAGCAGGGTGAGGGTTGGGTTTAGGTTTTGGGTTGAGGTTAGGGTCAGAATTAGAGCAGATTTAAAGAAAATGATGGTTAATTTAGTAGATATTTAGTTTAATGTAACTTGACAGTAAATAAAGTAGCTACAAAGCATCTAAAGTGGACAGTCCAAATAAAGTGTTAACTCGAAAGGTAATGAATCGTGAATCGATTTGCTGTCAGCTCCGAAGATTGACACCCTGATGGCATGTTGTGATGAACCAGCATCTCAGGTAAACTGTTTTGATCCTGCGAGAACTTAAAGACTCGGGGGGAAACAGTGTTTTTATTGCGTGATGATGCTTTTAAAAACTAAACCTTTCATAGAAAATCAGTAAATAAACTGTGTGAATTCATGTCGTTTCAGGGCTGCCGTACGTATCGGTTTCTCTCTGAATTCGTTTAGATTTCTCATTTTGTGTTTTAAGTTCTTTGCTTTGCTGTTGCATTTTTTTCCCTGTCCTTGCCAACAGCTTCAGGGACGAAGACCACAGAGACGTTCAAAATGCAAAAGTTCCCTTTTTTTGGTTTTGTTTTTGGGCGAAGACGTGTTTACCACACCTGTAAGGTTTGTTTTGGTATGGTCCTGTACAACCACCTTCTTTACTTACTTAGACATGTTTGTGTCTGTCATTGCACTAAAATTGTCATACAATGATAATGATTGTATCGATCCTCTATATCAGGTTCTGCATTGTCATAGCTCGTCCGAGAGGAGCTCGATGGCACTGAAGTGAACCGCATGGTGTACACGACCCTAAATAAATAAAAGCTGGTGACATGTCCTCTTCTGTCGCGTGCAGTTCTTGCGCCCGAAGCAGGAGCGTGTTCGGCTTAGCGAGGGTTCCTTGAAGAACCATCTTTTTCAAGAGTGTCGCTAATGAAAATTACCTAATATTCACAAGGTTGTTTAGCTGCTCCACAGCTCTCGCACCAAAAAGGGTTCTATTGTTACTGTGTCAAGCTTGTTACAGTTGAAGAACCCTTTTTGGGTGCTATATAGAACCATTTTCAAAAAGGTTGTATATAGAACCTCAACAGCGCATTCTCCATCAATCTGAAGAACCATTTCATGATGCAAAGAATCCTTTAATCACACTAAGGGTTCTTTGTGTTTAGTGTTCTATATAGAACCATTTTCTTTGCCAAAGAACCCTTGAAGATATTTTTAAGTGTGCACTTTTACTTCTCTGTACTTTTTTACAACCATCTTGAGTCTTGGCCCCCAAGGCTAAGAATCACTGTTTTAAACTGTGTGCTTTTAAGATCCATTGTCAGTTCAATTTGAGTGCCCCCTGGTGGGCATAGGAGACACAGCACTGACTTACTGCAGTTACGTATGTTTTATTTTTTTTTACAAAACAACTTTTTAAAAATAATGTAAACGTGATGTAAAAATAACGTCCGCCAGCGTCCACACCACCTTAAAGTGGGGACGTCCGAAGTCCAGCTCCAGGGCCAAATGCGGCCCGCGGGCAGATTTTAATCAGCCCACAGCTTCTGTTTTAGAGTGTGTTATTCATGGTCTGCCAGCCAGTGCACTGCAGTTCTTCCTCTCACCTGATGGTGGCAGCAGCTCTGTAAGATTACAGTGTAACGCTGCACTGCGGTAACGAAGTAGCTAAAGTTTAAGAGCCTTTCTTCTCTGACTGACCTGCAGCTTCACTTACTGACCACATTTAGTCCAGACTGAGCCGTAAAGCTCAGACTAACACTGAGAGCCGCAGGTTTAGATGGAAATTTGAACTTTTTCATCAAGAGTCGCAGAAAACGAGCCTCATATTTCAAAACTAATGAATTTAATACCAACAGACCTGAAAAACATCACAGTAAATATTCAGGAGAGACACTAAAGCAGCTGCAGCTCTGAGTCTCACAGCACCGACTTCACATCAGAGCAGATTCAGCAGATCAGGACATATTAACCCTTTAAGGGGAGCAATAACGACTGATTATACTGATTAATCTGATCTGCTCCTCTAATACAGTGATTTCTGAATGAGCTCACTGTGTTTATTTGATAGGTAAAGAACATGATCTCACAAATATAAACAATTTATAGATTTTTAAGTCCCACAAATTGTATTTGATAAACATTTGGATAGGAAAATATTTTTGTTCAAACAATTTAATAATTAGGTAGAAGCATAATATTACCGATCCAAATTGCTCTGAATGAGCAATTCAGTGTTTAAAAAGAGCCTCGTGTATCTTTTACACAGTGATAGGAAACACAGCAGCTCACAGGAAGCTCAGATTCTGTGCTGATATTTTAAAAAAACGTAATTTTTTTTTATCATTTGTGAGAAAAGTTGCCTTAAACTTCAACACTCATCCACAGAACCACCAAAAAATCACAGACTCAGTGTTTCTCTGGATGCTTCAGAAAAAGCTTTTATTGCAAGATTTGAATACAGTATATAGTTTATTTTTTTGCTGTGGGTATTAAGAAGATAAATTCACATTCTCGGTTCTCTTGCTCAATACCCACCTTTTTTATCTGTATGGCACTTTGCAGCAATGGGTTGAATTCTACTCAGAACGTAAGTGCAATGATACCGAAGGCTTTTCGAGCAGAAGTGGAGTGGACAACGCCGACTGTTTCAAGTTTGTGCGGAGTAAAAACATGAAGCATGACAAAGAGCAGGATTCACGGAAATCTCCCAAAAACGTCGTGCCGAAAAAAAAAGTCTCTCTGTCTTTAGATTTGTTTTGAACCATGCCTGACTTGCTTTAATTCTTTCTTAAATTACAATTCATTTTCACAGAATAACACTGCTTCCGACCTATTATACACTATTCTATACAAAATACAGACCAAACTCCCAAAAATAAAAACTAAAGTGTCATTTACACAATTGTACAGCATCTGTTTCCTCCTGTGGCCTGTTTTTCTTTTCTACATCGTAATTTTCCACATTACAGTACTCAGTAATCTGAGAAGGCGGCGAAAACAAAAATGCATACTTGATTTTTTTGTTAATACTTGAAATTCCACTGAAGTTCCTCCATGTTTTATATAATAAGGTGCTAGAGGTTCTGCCGGACTGTGTAGTGGACGTTTTTGCAGTACCACTGTGTGGATCAATCTGCACAAATGACTCGTTCTGAAATGCTGTGATGTTTTCTGACACTCCGGACTGACCGTCCACCAAAAAACCGCCCAAACCCGCGTGTGCTGCTGTGCTGAAAAGTAAGAAACCACGTCAGTCTGTTTCTGAAAGGCACACGGTTGTGAAGTAACACCAGCCAGACTTACATACCTATACAGTCATGCATCACACGATAATGAAGTATATTACAGGAACAGATCCATCGTTTTCATCCTGATCTCGATCTGCTGTATCGTTACTGTACAGCTGATTAACATGGACAATAATTAGGAACTTGGAAATCATCAGAAATCTCAGAAGGCCAGATTCTGAAAACTGCGCGGTAATGGCCAATCATAACGTCACTGCGGTGATGAACAGCACCGCCGATCAAAATCCACATGCAAATGAGCTCATACATATTAAAGACCCTCCAAGTGAAGCTCTGTTTTGCTGCCAAAAAAACAAAAACTAAGAAAATTTGAAATTCTGAGAAACACAGCTACAAATTTAAGGGAAAAAGCTTAATAATAGTAAACTGGTAAAGATGCTTTTAACTTTTAATCGAGAAACAACAGGTACTAGAAAAAAAGTGACATCGATCTTAAAAATCAACTTTCAATTATATTTTATCATGTAAGATTTCACTGCTCATTGGTAAGAATTCAAGCCTTTTATCAATTCATCCTAATTGCAGTAATAAGTTTTTACTAACATTAAAGTTTAACATGGTCATTTTTATTACATTTAAAAATAAAAATGAGACAAGCTGAAATTTTGATTTCTATGGCCAAGCTGTTTTAGCTTTTATTCCCTAAGTTTTTGATTTCAAAAATTCTATTTGCACAGATTAAAATTAAATTACAGCTGGTAAATATTAAAATTTCGCTATCAGCGCAGTGTCCCCGCTACACAGTTTACTCTTAAATTCCCCATAACTTTGGTACGTTTTATGAACCCGGCCCAGTTCAGTTGGAACGGAAGTCATTGGGCAGATGCTAAATTCTGTGAGTAAACCTTTGAAGTATGTGACGAAATAATGAGAACTTGCAGGCGTTAGATTGAGACTAGTTTCTAGTTTCACACGCCAGACCTCTATCGGCACAAAGTCTGCTAGCGTTGGTAGCTTAGAGCGGTGCAGAGCGTTCTTTATGATGTACGAGTGAATTTTAAAACAGCCCTGTAACAAAAACAAACCCACTCAAAACAAAGACATCCGCAGGCAGTTTGCGATAATATACACCATATAGCCATAAGTGAGCATCCTAATTACTGAGTTCAGGTGTTTCAGCCACACCCATCACAAACAGGTGGATAAAATCAAGCAGATAGCCATGCAGCCTCCACAGACACGCACTGGCAGTAGAATGGGTCAGACTGAGGAGCTCAGTGACTTTAAACGTTGCACTTTTATAAAGCCACAAGCCAGTTTGTGAAATGTTTGCCCTGCTGTTCGCAGCTGCCCATTGACTTCCATTATAAGTGAGTTTAGGGTCAGTGAGTTGTTCACTATTTTCCAAGTTCAGGGAAACGTGTTGAAATGATTGACCTACACTACAGACACAGCAGACAGAGATCAGGATGGAAAATTCCGGAGTTCTCCTTTAAGATCCGACTGTGGCCACAGCCTCTCCAGATCAGCTCCAACACCTCCAGACGGTCTGCAGCATGAACGGCAGGTTCTGAAGGTCAGCGGTCAGCGCTATGGGTGAGTGTTCTGTACTGCTGGTCACATTCAAGCTCTTACTGTGGACTCAAATTCAAAAACATGCAACAAAAAGAAGAAGAAGGAAGGAAAAGGACGAATACCACAGCAGTGCAGGGAGGAGGAGACGCCCGTCGGTTTCCTCCTCAGTGGTTTATAAACCTGTGCTCCACAGTTTCTACTGGATGGTAAAGGAGCGGTTCAGTGAATATCGTATTTACACGCAGTTCCATTCCACACCAGACGTAGGTGATCAGCTGAGTCGTGTCTGGAATCCAGATTTTGCTCCTGTAGAACTGGAGCTGCAAGGCCATCACTGCTAACAGTAGAAGTCAGTAGTCACCCAAACCTTTTCTGTAAAAGCTCTTCCAGTTTTCCTCCAGTCGTGGGCTGGACGTTAGGAAACCAGCCCTGTGACCGGATGGTTTGATGCCCTGAGCTGACAGAACAGTGCCACTGAAGTGCCCTTGATCAAGGCACCCTAACCCCCAACTGCTCCCCAGGTGCTGTGGATAGGGCTGCCCACCACTCTGGGCAAGTGTGCTCACTGCCCCCTAGTGTGTGTGTATGTGGTGTTTCACTGCACGGACGGGTTAAATGCAGAGGTGAAATTTACCCGTTGTGGGACTAATAAGGGTCACTAACTTGACCTCTTTTTCTCGCTCCCCCAGTTCAACTGTGCATTTTTCTTCAATAATATTGATGAAATATATTTTTTTGTGTGTTATTTACAAAACCAGAGCTGCATTTTTCCTCTTTGTTGTGAGTCGACATTTATAAAAATGTGTTTATTGTGCGAGTTCAGGATTGTTTGATATAGTTGTTTGTTTTATCTCAGCACGGCTGCCTTCGTGGTTTTCTTCTGCTCTTTTACTCATTACTCACTAGCAGCTCAACATTTCGCACAGAAAGACAGTCCTAGTTCATCTGATAAGAGTTACGGGGACAAATATTTAATTCATTAAAAATATCGCACTCGATTTCCATTCTGCCAGCAGAATGGCCACTAGGGGGCGCCATAGGGGCTCACTGTGAGCTGTCAAGATGAACAAAACTTCACCACGTAGCTTCGGACAACAGATCACAGGTTTCTCTTCTCATTTTCTGTTTCTGTTTATAAATAACAGCCTTCAGTTTTCAAACTGATCATACATGAAGATCCAAAAATAAACGTGAACGTAACTGAGTGACGCGTGATGCGCCAGGGTTATTACAGTGAATTAAAACTATCATCAAAACCAAAACTAGCAGTGGAAAAATGTGCTCCTTATCTGGAATAAAAATAAGCTAGTTTTAGTTTTTTTAGTTTTAATCAGAGTTTAAAAGTGTGTTTCTGTGTTTCTGTGTTCGGTCTTGGAGCCGAGCTGAGCTCAGTCTGCTGCTAATATTAATAATAGAAAAACTAAAACTGAAACTAAATAAAACTCTGAAAAGATTATTTTTCTGAAAATAAAACTAAACTCGAAGTCTAACTGAAACTAAACTGAAATCAAAACCAAAGTGAAAAACTAAATCTCCTGCCTTTTTGTGTCGCTGCCTCTTCTGAACAACATGTGTCTCCTTCACGTCACGGCAGTTTCATGTGGTGTCGCTATGACGACCAGCTACACTGAGGGGGCGCTATATCTGCAGTGGAAAACGAAGTGGCTGGTATCAAAAGCGAGAGAGCTTAACAGGCTGCATCTGCAGTGGTGCAGTTGTGGCCTCGTTTTCAGAATCGTTACAGCCCTAATAATAACCCTGGCGTGAGAAGAGCGCAGAGCTGAGCTACATCCTGAAGTTTTCTTCGTGTTTGTGTCTCACAGTCGGTCACGCTGCGTCCTAAACGGCTGAACTGAAGACCAGAGTGAGCCGAGATGTATCTACAGAACTTCTGCTGTCGGCCTCGAAGCTCCGGAAGCTAAATTTGTCCTCGGAACGTGTCTCGGCCGGTCGCCTCCGTCTGGGCTGAGTGGAAAAGCGTGTCTGTTCGGTTTGAACCGCTCCTTTAATGCTGAAGGTGCTACTAATCAATACAGTCTGTCTGTTATCACCACAGGGGGGCGACAGAGAGCAGCTGGCTGAAGCGCAGCTCTTTGGGTTACTCTCAAGGCCACAGTGGTTAGAAACACTAGTCTGTCTCTGCAGAGGAGAACCGGTCCGCCGGTCCGTCAGTACCGGGCCGAGAGCGCCGGCCATGTGCTGACCGACTCCTGCTGTGCTTGTCTTCTGAAAATGCCTTAAAAGTGTAAAAGTGTGATGAAGTGTGAAGTTTCCATGGCAGCGGCGCGGCGGCCGCGGAGTCCGGCGGGTCGAGTGGTGGTGAAAGTCGCTCTCCTCTCAGTGTCTGTGTGTGAGAAAGTGTCGACACCCTGAGCTGCTCCAGTCCTTTTTTTGTGTCACACTTGCATCTCAGAGCCGCTGGACAGTCCGAGAGCCTGAGCCTCCTCTGGGGTCAGACCACTCTTCAGTGTTCTTCTTACTGCAGAGAAAGAGAGAGAGAGGGAGAGAAAAAAGAAAGGAAGAAAGAGAAAGGAGAGAGAAAAAGGAACAGAGGAGAAAAGAGAAAAGGAAGAGAGAGAGGGAGAAGAAAGAAAAAAGGAAGAAAGGGGAAAAGACAGGAAAAGAAAGAAAGTGGAATACAGAGAAAGAGAAGAGAAAGGAGAGAGAGACAGAAAAAGGAAGAAAGGAAGAGAAGAGAAAGTAAGAAATAGAAAAAGAAAGGAGAAAGTAGAGAAAAGAAAGGAAAAGGAGAAAAAGATAAAGAAAAGGAGAGAAGAGAAAGAAGAAGAAAGAGGAGAGAAAAAGAAAGAAATGAAAAAATGAGGGAAAGAAAGACGGAAAGAGAGGAGAAAGTCAGAGAAAAAGAGAGAGAGAGAGGAGAGAGAGGGAGAGAGAGAGAGAGAGAGAGAAAGAGAGATTTATTAAGTCAGCCTCAAATCAAAACAGACCTTTTTTTACGTTAGTTTAATCCCCTGCTCATCTTAAAGGGACACCCCAGCCAAAATGAAAAATTCATTCTTACTTTTTTCCCTTTGAGGTCCGTTTCTACCGTTTGAGTGGTTTTATGTATAATTCCACCTTAAATCGTGCAGCAGTTATATTCTGGTGCCTGAGGCTGCACCATTTAAGGTGGAACAGGAAAATTAAAACAAGAAGCGAATAAGGAGGCGACTCCAGCCTCGTGTAAGGAGGCGCTGACCTGTTGTGAGGATCTACACAGATTAAGGAACGCTGTAACTTCCCCACAGCGCTGACTCAGCATTAATAACAATGAGGTGCACTGTTAGAATAAAGGTTCTGTTCAGGTACTGTTCTCATCATCAAGGTCCAAACAGTGTAAATGTTCCCTCAAAGCTCCAACAGTGGGTTTAAGGTCTGATTGTGGACCTTAAATAAGTTTTTCCAGGTGAAAAGTTCGTATTTGTACCTTTTCATAACCGAATGTTTTAAACAGAACAGTAAAATAAAAGCCTGGAGACGAGACGGGGTGTGTGGAGTCAGTACAGCTTAGAACATATCATTTCAGTGGATTATGGTTCAGTTATGTTCCCTGACTAAAGGTACTGAGATGGAGCCTGGAGGGTTCCACCCCAGTGACAAGAGGGGAACTGACCCAGTGACAGTCTGGTACCTTTATTTCTGAGAGTGTAGATACAGACACAAAACACGGTTCTGCTCTTTGCTCAGAATTTCTCCTGTTTTTTTAAGTGAGAAATAGTTCATTTAAATCACAGCTGAGAGTCAGAGAGCTCTGTGTGTGTGTGTGTGTCCTGCTGTGTGTGTGTGTGTCCTGCTGTGTGTGTGTGTGTGTCCTGTTGAGTGTGTGTGTGTGTGTGTGTGTGTGTGTCCTGTTGAGTGTGTGTGTGTGTGTGTGTGTGTGTGTCCTGTTGAGTGTGTGTGTGTGTGTGTGTCCTGCTGTGTGTGTGTGTGTGTCCTGTTGAGTGTGTGTGTGTGTGTGTCCTGCTGTGTGTGTGTGTGTCCTGCTGTGTGTGTGTGTGTCCTGCTGTGTGTGTGTGTGTGTGTGTGTCCTGTTGAGTGTGTGTGTGTGTGTGTGTGTGTGTGTGTCCTGTTGAGTGTGTGTGTGTGTGTGTGTGTGTGTGTGTGTGTGTGTGTGTGTGTCCTGTTGAGTGTGTGTGTGTGTGTGTGTCCTGCTGTGTGTGTGTGTGTGTCCTGTTGAGTGTGTGTGTGTGTGTGTCCTGCTGTGTGTGTGTATGTCCTGTTGAGTGTGTGTGTGTGTGTGTGTGTGTGTGTCCTGTTGAGTGTGTGTGTGTGTGTGTGTGTGTCCTGTTGAGTGTGTGTGTGTGTGTGTGTGTGTGTGTGTGTGTGTCCTGTTGAGTGTGTGTGTGTGTGTGTGTGTCCTGTTGAGTGTGTGTGTGTCCTGCTGTGTGTGTGTGTGTGTCCTGTTGAGTGTGTGTGTGTGTGTGTCCTGCTGTGTGTGTGTGTGTGTCCTGTTGAGTGTGTGTGTGTGTGTGTGTGTGTGTGTGAGTGTGTGTGAGTGTGTGTGTGTCCTGCTGAGTGTGTGTGTGAGTGTGTGTGTTGTTTTTCACTCACAGGATTTGCGGTTGGCTCTGGAGCGCCTCCTCTCCCGCGGCTGGCTGCGCTGGCTCGGGCCCTGAGTCGCCGACTTCACGATGCGCTCCATGATCTCGTCCGCCGTGTCCTCTAGACCGTTCGACGGTTCTTCATTGGCTGATGACCACAGTGCCATGCGGCCTGCGCAGACATGAGAAAACATTCCTTTAGGAGGAGAACTCGTTTAGAGCGTTCACCAGACGAGCGTTTATCCTGAGTGACCTACAGAACCCGGAGAACCCGTCTTTACTTAGAGACGGGAAGAGAACCGAGACTCAAAAGGAGAACCTCCCTGAGAGCATGAGGAAGAACCACTGAGGGGAACCGAGACTCAAAAGGAGAGACCCGTCCTCCTCTGGGCTGATGTCTCACTAAGAGAACTACAGTTAAATTAATTAAATTAAAATGACTTAAATGACCAGAGAAGAGTTAAGCAGCATCACGTTTGGTCTACAGCTACAGTGCTGTCATGTGTGGTCATTAGGAGAACTTAGAACGTGTGGAACAGTGTGAAGTACAGGCTGATGAGAGTTTTGAGCACCTCGGCTGGCTCTGGTGCGCGTGCGGAGGCCGGGCAGCACGGACGTGGTGCTGTCGCCGCCCTGCAGGCTGTTGCGCAGAACTGCAGTCATCTGCTCGTGCTCCGCCACGTCCTCAGCGTAGCCCAGCCCCTGGGGCGGAGCCTCCGGACCCTCCGCCGACGAGCCCGCAAACTTCCCGCTCTGTGGAAGAGAAACGGTGAACATCACTCTGATTCTACAGACATGGAGGTGTAGCTAAAGGGGAATTCCACCAAAAATTCTACATCAGAGTCATTCAGAGCGGTTTGGTTTCTAGAGAAACTTACTGAGTCAGAACTGTTCACAGTGGTGGTGATAGGAACCAGACGTCCACCTCTAAAAGCTCCCTCACAGAAAGTTCCTACATGAAATGGTTATGAATTCACTGCCTGATGACTGAGACACTGTTTTATGATAGTTTAGAGAACTTAAACTCCATTCATGGTGGAGGGATACATGCAGGGCGCTGTGAGGCAAAATAGTCCCCAAAGAAAACTTATTATTTCAGATTTTCCACTATTTTCCATCATCAACATTCCATATAAACTCAGAAGACTCGTGTAGGTTCACTGGTGGTTCTGGATAGTAAATAAAATGTCTATATTTGTGTTGTAGTCATGGCGACCCCTGGTTCCCATCACCACCACTGTGAAGAAAATCTCAACAATGCAGTGACTGAATTATGTAGAAATTTAAAAAGTTGGTGGAATTCCCCTTCAAAGGCGTATTTAGCAAGTTCCTCATGCAGAAACAGCACTAAAACACCACTGGATCTCCAGCATGCACTGTAACTCACTGTATTACACAGTAACGGAGCTTCGTTAGACTCAGTTCGTTATTATGAGTGATTAATTATCTGACCTCAAAATGACCTGATTGATTCATGATTCCTTGGAAACCGTGAAATCTCTAATGATGCTCTGTGTTGTTTTGTTTTGCTTGTGTTCATATTTTTAAGGATCAGCCTGTTCAGGGGCAGCTGATGAAAAAGCCATTTGGCTAAATTTGGCACATTTAGGGTCGTATGCAAAAGTTTTGGCCCCCCTGGCTGTACTGTGAAAGTGAGAATATGTTAGCGCGTCCTCTACAGCTGAAAAAATAAAACCATAACACATAAAATGTGCACACGACACATCTTCTGTTTTATTTTTCACCCTATTATGTTACATTCAGCGCATAAACAGTAACCGTGCACTGAAGTGTGCAGAAGTTTGTCTCTGTAGAAGAATTTACTTTCACTTCAGGAACATGAAATTTGGCCAAAACTTTTGCAAAGTACTGCACATCATAAAATGATGATCATCAGTAGTAGCATGTTGTTCCTGTTAGATAAGCAGTTAAAGTACTTTGATTATTTTTGTTCAATTATTATTTTTTTAAATACTCTAATGTACAATTAAACTCAAAATTCAACATAGAATGAAATCTTTTTTGGACAAAAAATGAGTGCATTATAATATTAATATCAGTTATAATCACTGCAGTTGAATCACAGACTGTACATTGTCACCTTCAGACGCACTTTTACACCCCCTAGTGGCAACATTCTAAAATTACAACGCATTGATACTGAGTTAAGAGAGACAGATTGAAGGAGAGAGGTGACAGCAGACAGTTGCTGATCTACTGCAGGTCCACGTTCACTGTTCTCCATCCCAATCATGCTTCTGACGAACATATCAACAATATTGATCGCAATGTCTGCAGATCTGCGCGCTACAGAAGAAGAACAAGAACAACCCCGAGTTTTATCCACATGGCTTTTCATAAACCCAGGACTGCTTCACAAAGTAATGTCAGAACAATGTGGGAACAGTAGTGAAGAGGCTTAAAACACAAAGACATAAAAGAGAAGACCTCCAGCTCCGTCATGCATTATCTGACTCCATCACTGAGTTAGTCTGTAAAACTCCTGTTAGAACTCTGTAAAATGTTAATAACACACTCAGGCGCCTCACGCGTACCTCACCATCCTCTTCATCCTCACTCTAGAGAAGAAATGAGAAGGAGACACGAAGAATGAACAGAAGGAGCGCAAACGACTCAGCAGGGGGGATTTTAATGCTCTCATTAAGCCTTAATTAGTCAGAAAGTGCTAATTAACCAGCCGCTCATTACTTCCTTATTTACCTTTTAGAGCTTGAAAGTGATGACTGGGCTGGTTGGTCTTTATGCTTTACTATAAAACTTCCCTCATAAAGGGTTTATGAATGGTTATTAAGTCATAAACACCTTAAAATTCATTAATAAGCAGTTATAACTCATACATACATAAAAGGGCGACTATTATATGAGTGTAACCAGCGAGACCTGAGCTTTAACACACACGTCAACACGAATGTGGACAGTTTGGCAAACAACAGGTCTCTTTAGATTTATGTGTTATGAAGTCTTTATGAACTAATTAATAAACTAACTGAAAACCTTTCATAACCCGTTAATTTTGCACTCCTATTGAAAAGCATTGCTGATTACCTGAACTGCACTGTTAGCAAAAAAAGGTTCTATACGGTACCAAAAATGGGTTTGTAACAATAGTGGAACCCTTTTCTGGTGGTGTATAGAACCATATACAACACATTCTCCATCAAACTGAAGAACCCTTTCACGATGCAAAGAGCCATTAAATCATGCGAAGGTTCTTTGATTGTTCATGGTTCTACACAGAACCATTTTCTTGACTAAGTAACTCGTGAAGAACCATCTTTTTAAAAGTGTAGCCTACGTTTTAACTTACGTACGACTGAGGCAGTCGGCCCCTGGAGTACAATACATGTATCATCACATATCGGTTTGAAACATAATGCAAACCTAAACATCTGTTTGATGCCGATATATAATATATATATATATATATATCAAATATCTGCCCATAAAATAAGATCCAGATATCTGTGTGTTGGTAATGTAGGAGTTAATACCTTCTTACATTACGAGGGAGCTCTTCAAGAGTTCTTTAGTAAAGAAAATGGTTCTATATAGAACCGTGAACACTCAAAGAACCATTTGCATGATTAAAAGGTTCTCTGCATCGCAAAAGCGTTCTTCAGATTGATGATCTATATATTACCTTTTTAATCAGGGTTCTATACAGCACCAAAAGGTTCTACTATTGTTACCAAAGAACGTTTTTTGGTACTATGTAGAACCCTTTGGTAGGACTGTACAATGTTATTTTTGCTTGAATTTCAAATCTGTGGCCAGTTTACTTATTGTACTTATAGGGAAGGTCCACCATTTTTCCAAAATTTCTGCACTCGGTAAGTTGCTCTAGAAACCGAACCACTCTAAACGACTTAAGCACTTAATTATGCAGGAATTTTGCAAAATCAGTGGCATATGCCTTTATGTCTCTGGGCGTAAATGGGTTATTAAGCACAGTTCACGCAGTTCTTGTATTAAAATAAGGCCTACGTTATAGGGATTATGGCAATATCTAATATTGCAGGTGTAGATATTGAGACTAAATCCTACCTGGATTAACATTATAGAGAAATATAACATGTATTCTGTATTCTGGACCGTCTTTCATAATAACAGTAGTCACTTGGTCTGCTGAGCCACTCTGGATCTGCGGGGGACTAATTACTTTTCATTGCTGCAGAATAAAGGAAAGCATGTTAAAGGAGTAAACAAGGGTTTATAGATGTAGAAACACTTGGAGGTTATTCTGTGCAGCAGCACGCTGATGAATCAGATTCAGAGAAGGGGATAAACTGCTCCATCTAATGGCAGAACCGCAGAACTACATCTCAAAACCACCCTGCAGTAAAAGAACCGTTACTGCACTGAAAGAACGACTGCAGGAAGAGTAAAAGTAGCAAAAAAACAACTTCAGAGGCCCAAAGACTCATTCAGAAACGTTCACTACTGCTTCTCTCCTCCCCCGGAAGAACCTGGAGGGATCGAGGAGAGAAGAGGAGCAGGAGGAGCGGAGAGAGGAGCCGAAACTGGAGAAAAACATCATTGAAGTTGATGCTGACTGTTGATGAAATGAGCCAATCACGACGGTCGAAAGAAGGGGGTTCTTTAAGAGTTCTATAATAAAGGCTGTAACTATGACATCTTGGACTTGATGGTTCTTTAGTCAGTGGCTCTATAGAGACACTCAGACTGATGGAGAATGTGTTTTACATGGTTCTATGTAGAACCTTTTTGAAAAGGGTTCAATATAGTGGCAAAAAGGGTTCCACTGTTACAGATTTGACATCATAACAATAGCAGAACCACTTTTGGTGCTACATAGAGCCATTTTCAAAAAGGTTCTATATAGAACCATAGAAAACGTGTTCTCCATCAATCTGAAGAACGCTTTAATAATGAAAGAGTGCTTTAATCATGTGTTTGAGTGTTCATGATTCTGTATGGAACCATTTTCTTTACTAAAGAACTCCTGAAGAACCATAATTTTTTAAGAGTGTAGGACTCCACTATTAATAAGTCAAAGTACCCCTTTTTAATACTATAAAGAACCCCTGAAGTGGCATAGAACCTTTACATTATGTTAAGGCTCTTCAAACCTTTAACAGGTTCTTCTGGCTCCAGCAAACCACACAAAAGTGGTTCTATGATGTTTTGCGGCACCTTTTTAAAGCGAGTAGAAGGAAAAGTTAGCATTTAAAGAACTCAGAGAAACAGAACTCCTTCTAAAGTGTGCCTAAGTACACAGAACCGAGTAAACGGAGCTTTGTCTAGAACACTGCCGTACCTGAGAGGAGTAGAATGAATGAGAGTTCACTCACGTCGGTGATCATCTTCCCGCGGGTTTTGTTCCTCTCGCGGTGGTTGGCTCTTTTCTGTTTCTGCTGCAGGACCCTCTCTCTGGTGGTCCGGTATTCCAGCGCAAACTCGCTCAGGATCTTACAGAAGCGGTGGATGCTCACCTCCCTCACCGCGTACGGCGGGTGGCCCAGGAACAGCAGGAACGCGTGGAACCTGGAGGACCAACATGGAGGTCAAAGGTCAAACAGGAGGCCGAGCTGGAAGAGCCGCGCTTCGTTTTCCACAATCAAAACAAGACTTCAGTTTAAGGTCTGCATCTTAATAATGAACTGTTCATAATGTTCTAGGAAATAGAACCGTACGAGTTTAGACGTGTGATACGAACGTGCTTTATGATGTGTTAACAATTCTGAAAATTATCATCATCTGTTTGTTGACTAGAGTTTATTTACACCGGTCAGCCATAACATCATGACCACCTCCTTGTTTCTACGCTCATTGTCCATTTTATCAGCTCCACTGACCGTATAGTTACAGACTGTAGTTCTACAGTTACAGACTGTAGTCCATCTGTTTCACTGATACTTTGTTAGCCCCCTTTTACCCTGTTCTTCAGTGGTCAGGACCCCCATGGACCCCCACAGAGCAGGTACTATTTGGGTGGTGGATCATTCTCAGCACTGCAGTAACACTGACGTGGTGGTGGTGTGTTAGTGTGTGTTGTGCTGGTCTGAGTGGATCAGACACAGCAGTGCTGCTGGAGTTTTTAAACACTGTGTCCACTCACTGTCCACTCTATTAGACACTCCTACCTTGTCCACCTTGTAGATGTAAAGTCAGAGACGATAGCTCATCTGCTGCTGCACAGTTTGTGTTGGTCATCCTCTAGTCCTTCATCAGTGGACACAGGACGCTGCCCACAGGACGCTGTTGGCTGGATATTTTTGGTTCTCAGTCCAGCAGTGACACTGAGGTGTTTAAAAACTCCAGCAGCACTGCTGTGTCTGATTCACTCGTACCAGCACAACACACACTAACACACCACCACAATGAACAATGAACTCTGAATTATTCCAGCAAATTCTAAAGGAAAATGTCAGGACATCTGTCCATGAGTTGAAACTCAAGAGAATGTGGGTCATGCAGCAAAACAACGACCCTCAGCAGACAAGTCATTCTACCAAAGAATGTTCTGGAATGGCCGAGTAAAAGTCCTGATCTTGATCCTGTAGAAATGTTGTGGAAGGACCTGAAGCAGCAGTTCATGGCTGGAAACCCACCTTCATAACAGATCTGAAGCTGTTTTGGGCTAAAACTCCACCATGCCGATTCAGGACTCATCAACAGTTACCGGAAACGTTTAGTCGCAGTTTTTACTGCACAAGCGGGTCAGACCAGGTACTGAAAGCAGACGTTCACATACTTTTGCTACTCACATGAAATACTGGATCATTTCTCTCAATAAATAAAGGACCAAGTCTAATATTTTTGCCTCATTTGTTTAATTTGGCCTTATCTACTTTTAGGACTTGTGTGAACATCTGATGAAGTTTTGAGTCAAATTAATGCAGAAATATAGAAAATTCTAAAGGGTTCACAAACTTTCAAGCACGCTTCACCTCACTGGAGCTCACTGTGACCCGGAAACCGTGACTAAGCTGGCCCTGATGGCGTTTCCTGATAAAGACGAGGTCAGTGACGGTCAGTGTGGTTACCTGTTGATGATGCGTCTGTGGACGATCTTTAAAATGATGATCCTCTCGGCGCAGTCCTTCAGGAAGTCCGACATGCGCTGCTTCAGCGCCGGCTTCATCTCGTGCTTGGCGATGACCTTCAAGTGGTCCCATGATGCTTTGCAGCGCCGCTCCATCTGACACAGGTTGTCCTGCAGCTGGTCGAAGTCCACCTAAAGAAGAAGGCCGAGAGCATGTTTATAAAACCTGTAATCAATCATAATGACCAACAACAACAGCAATAACATCAACAACAACAATAACATTGATTGGTGATGCAGTGCAATGAACCAGAGAACTGAAAGAGCTGAAAGAAAGCTTTGCTTCTATATAGTTTGCCACTTTATTTATGCTTTTGGATTGATCTGATGATGCTAACGAAGCTTGGCAATACTTCCATGTTGGAGAAGAGAACTGAGAGGACCAGAGAAGTGACTTAATTGTAATCTAAACAATACTGAATTACTAATTCATGATTGGAAAATTATAGAATATACTACTTCACGGTTTCCCACAGGCATCTAAAGCTGAATTCCAGAGAGCCTCTGCTATGAGGAAGGTAAACAATTAATCGTTAAATATGTAAAGCAGGTGGGCGTGGCTTTGGAACTCCAGCAGTCTGACGTTTCTCCAGCAGGGGGCGGTATTAGCACAGGAGTCACTTTAGTGTTCGCCGTTTAGAGAAGGAAGGAAGAGTGAACCCACACCAGCAGGATCTGACCAACACACGCATTTACAGAAGCCGGTTTATTACCGAAAAATTAAAAGTTAAATTTTAAAATTAAACCTGTTTATTACCAAAAGACTCTCTGTGTTATTAATGTGATTTTCATTAAAGAATCTAATTAAATTAGTGAATAATAAAAACTATGTTCAAGTTAAAGACGGGAAGAAATGTTGGTGCAGCTTAGTAGTAGTAATAATAATAATAATATAATAATAATATTAATAATATTAATATTAATAATAATGACTCAGTAAAGGATAAAGCACTGCACTGTTATATAAACATCCCACCAAATTCCACATCTGCAGCTTCATTTAGGCTAATCTCTGATGTCCCAGGTTGCCTTGGTTAACCACTAGCTTTGCACCTGAGCCCATTTTTCAACCCACAGACGGTGAAGAACAATAAAAGGCCCTCACTGCTGCTCCACATCTGCACAGCTGTGTGATTTACAGCGTATGGCAGCGTTCCGCATGATGTTTCTCCAGCGGGCACAATTTTAACCACATGCAAAGGGCTTTTATCATTAATTAATACTGTTTTTAATGGTCTGTCATCTGTTTGTTTCACATATACTCCCATTCTGAATGTCCTGAAGGGAACCCTGTTGAGATATATACGCCCCAATATGGTGTAAATGTCCAACACCATTCAAATGTGTTTAAAATGGGACAAAATCCTTTAATCATAAACAAAACATTCACATTTGGTTTATATGTCACATTTTAATAGTACTGGACATGTACACTGTTTTAAGGCATACAAGTATTAGCCCTCTGGGGTCCACGAACCCGCCTGCACGTCAGATTCTCTGTTTCTATATCTGTGTCTGTGTCTCTGAGATGATCCAGCTCAGAAATCCAGTTCAAACACTTCCTGAATCTGTAGAGTCGCCCTTTCCATTCCATCTCATCACGAGATCATACGAGACTCACATCCGGAGTTATGAGCCTATGAAGAGGGGCTGAGATACACGTCATCTGCCTCTCACCGTGTGGAACTGGTGGATTCGTGTGTCCGTCTACATTCTGTGTGAAACTGACCAATGGACACTCAGGAAATCACTAAGGACTGACCATCACGCCGGAAACCCTTCATTCTTCATTCAGTCCACATCGGAGACTCATGTGAAACGGCGTGCAGAGAGTTTACAGCTGCTGAAGCTGCTGCAGCGGTTTTGGAAAGTAGTGATGAAGATAACGGAGCATTTAGATATGAAACACATGAGGATCATGATAAATGAAGAGACTTTAAAGGAGAGTTTAAGAAGATGTGGACAAATCGGGGTTAACAGTTATCAGCTATATTGGTATCAGTTTTTATCTTTATTTATTTAGCACTGTCAGCTCTCTGTGAAGGCTACTGTAGCTAACTATGCTAAAGCTTTGATTAAACTGAATTAAACTGAACTGAATATTTGTGCATTTATTTAAAAATGCAATTTAGTATAGATTTATACGTCATGAATGAGCTTGAATGATCCAATATGGTAAAGATATGGTTTACTAAAGAACCACAGTTTTAACTGTTTACTCTAATGAACTGGGAACTGTGGTGCGATGCCAATATGTTTCATGATATATGTGTGTTTATAAATAAAACACAATTCTAAACGTTTCTGTTCCTGGATTCGCACTACAAAAAGCAAAATGAATGAAATACAGATATTTTATGCGTCACCTGATCATTCTGCTCTTCTGGGGTTCAATAAAAACATCGTCACATTTCCATTCGAAATATCAGCCAAATCTAAACATCTGTCTTTTATTTTTAAGTATCTTCCGATTCGGATGCAGTTCCAGTAGTACGGAGCCTTTATTACTTTTTAAAATCACTTTCGATGAGAAAGGCGAGCATAAAATGGCCACATGCGCGAACTTGCTGACCGCTGGTCACTAATCGATCCTATTTTCTCTTAACGTATGATCTTTGCAGAGCTCTACACTCCTAATAGTGAGGAATCTCTGTAGGGCTCTCTGGTTATGTGACCTGTAGATGTGTGGAGCTGTGAATCTGTGTGGTACCTTAGCCGAGCGCGTGATGGCTCCAATCTCGGAGTAGAGGTCAGAACCTTCTGGAAACTTCTCCACCACGATGGAGCAGACGTGGTGCAGCAGAGACTGCTTATGTACAGTGTCCTTCACTTCCGGAACCTTCTCCAGGTAACTCAGCTCAAAGCCCTTAGCCTGGACACACACACACACACACACACACACACACACACACATACACACACGCACACACACACACACACATACACACACATACACACACACACACGCACACACACACACACACACACCATACATTAAAGGGCCCATATCCTACGTTTTCTCTTATTAGGTCCACTTATTCACATCTGTGTGGGTTTTCACTGTATCCCTTAGAATGAAACAGGCTGTTTACTGGCCCTTTAAAAATGATACATGTAAATGAGCTCTGTTCTGATTGGCTGAGCCTCATTCAAAAAGCAGTCTGGACTGAAACGCTCCTCTTAACCGGAGAGTGAGTGCACACTTAAAAATGATGGTTCTTCAAGGGTTCTTTAGTAAAGAAAATGGTTCTATATAGAACCATGAACACTCAAAGAACACTGCATGATTAAAGGTTCTTCGCAATGTGAAATGGTTCTTCAGACTGATGGAGAATGTACTGTAGATGGTTCTACATAGCACCAAAGAGTGTTCTTCTATTCTTACAAGCTTGACATCGTAACAACAGAAGAACCCTTTTTGGTGCTATATAGAACCCTTGTCAAAAAGGTTCTACATAGAACCATCTACAGCACATTCTCCATCAGTCTGAAGAACCCTTTGATGATGCAAGGACACCTTTAATCATGCAAATAGTTCTTTGAGTGTTCATAATTCTATATAGAACCATTTTCTTTCTGAAAGAACCCTTGAAGAACCACTATTTGTAAGTGTGTGGGCTGTGGGCTGAATTGGAGGACGTACACAAATGAGTGGGTTTCTGTGACATCACAAAAACGGACTTTATGGAAGACATTTTAAAACGTTCACCTACGATCTTAAAAAAGATGGCGCTTCAAACGTTCTTTAAAGGGTTCTTTGCATCATGAAAGCATTCTTCAGATTGATGGAGCATGTGCTGTTGATGGTTCTATATAGAACCTGTTCTCTTTAGTACCCAAAAGGGTTCTTCTATTGTTATGGTGTCAAGCCTATTACAATAGAAGAACCTTTTGGGTGCTATATAGAACCCTTATCGAAAAGGTCCTTTATAGAACCATATATAGCACATTCGTGCACATTTTCCATTAATCTAAAGAATCTTTCATGATGCAAAGAACCTTTAATCATGCAAAGGGTTCTTTGAGTGCTCACGGCTCTATACAGGACCATTTTCTTTACTAAAGAACCCTCGAAGAACCATCTTTTTAGAGATGTATATTAAATCTTATAGCTGAAAAGTGAGGAGCGTTCAGTTTTTCATGATGTGGGCTCTTTAAATCAGACCAGATGTTCAGTATCAGTGGATCTTTTCTGTAAAAAGCAACACCGAAAATACGTCCACCGTCAACGAATCGCTCCGGAGCTCAGACCAGTTCTAAAAAGGGCTCCTGATCACAGACCATTTCCACGATTTACAGACGGCATTCAGCAGATTAGCATCAGTTCCATTAAACTATAATACAGAAAGCTTTGAAACGTTAGCGGGTCAGTACAGCGCGGCCTGGCCGCTCCAGACGAACGCTTCATTAGCTCGTAATTAGCTGAATCTCATCAACTGTGGTGGAGTTCCGTAACTCGCAGGCTGTATTTCGGCATACAGCGCAGCTGGGAATTCTGGGAAACCCCCCAAAATGACACGTCACCATTTTCACTTGCTTTGATCTCGCGCCCAAGCTCGACGTTTACTGTAACAAACGTGATTTCATGCTTTTATCGCTTCCTCAGCCTGACTTTATAATGATCTCAAACAGAGCTAGATGGTAAATTAACCCTTTAAACTTTCTGATCTTAAAATCCCCCCATAATTCAGTGTGTGAGATGTAATCAGAGAGATTCAGAGAGGTTTGGTGTGAAATGGTTCAGATGTCTTTACAGTGGTGGTGATAGGAACCAGGGGTCGCCATGACTACAACACAGATATAGACATTTTATTTACTATCCAGAACCACCAGTGAACCTACACGAGTCTTCTGAGTTTATATGTGCAAAAATGTATATTTTAACAAGTGAAAACATCTTAAATCTACACAAAATGTCTAACAGGATGTTTTGAGATTATTCACGCTCCTTTCAGACATTTTTTACTTTTTCCAGTCATTTTATCTGGTGCAGTTGTCTTTTTCCACTGGCAGACAGTTTTGTTTGGTTCAGGAAATGATGCTTAAACTAAGGACCATGATCTGCTATTGGAATATTAGACACGTGCACTAAATGTCTGAAATGACTTAAACTGACTTAAATATGAAAATAGTGGAAAATCTGAAATAATACGTTTTCTTTGGGGACTATTTTGCCTCACAGCGCCCTGCATGTATCCCTCCACCATGAATGGAGTTTAAGTTCTCTAAACTATCATAAAACAGTGTCTCAGTCATCAGGCAGTGAATTCATAACCATTTCATGTAGGAACTTTCTGTGAGGGAGCTTTTTTTCCTTCTAGCACCTCATTTTCCCGCATTATTACCCCACTGATCTGACTGTTCCTTCACTTACCCCTTTTTGCCATTATACATCTTTTAACTGCTGCTGCACTTTAATATATCACATGTCGCTGCTGTCGGAAGAAAACCTTATATCTCTCATTTTTGTCTGTTTTTCCATTTTTGTCATAATTTGAAAATACCTGTTACCTTTTACATTGTATGTAAATTTCATGATGAATGGACTAAAAGAAATGACCCAAAATGGAAGAAAGTCTGGTTCCATTGACTTACATTAAAAGTAAAGTAGGTTTTTTCCTTCTCCTGTAAAGTTACCAGTTTGGAGATACAAGTTTTTTTTTCCGACAACAGTGATATACTTGACACGGTGCAAGGTTTAAAAGTGTGACTGTGTGTGTGTGTGTGTGTGTGATGGTCCGAGTGTGTGGTAGGATGCACATTTTATTTTATTTTATTCTTATTTTTATTTGTATTTTTTTTTACTACTGTAAGATGTTTGTCTGTGAGCTCCTGTAACCAAAACCAAATTCCTTGTATGTGTCAGCAAACCTGGCCAATAAAGGTTGATTCTGATTCTGATTAGTTTAGAGGCATTAAAAGATGCATTAAAAGCCATTTTTCACAGTTTCTGCATAATTAAGTGGTTAAGATGTGAACAGAGTCGTTCAGAGCGGTTTGGTTTCTAGAGAAACTTACCGACTCAGAACTGTTCACAGTGGTGGTGATAGGAACCAGACGTCCACCTCTAAAAGCTCCCTCACAGAAAGTTCCTACATGAGATGGTTATGAATTCACTGCCTGATGACTGAGAGATCAGAATTGTCCTTTAATCCAAGATGTATTAAGTGTGGGACGTTAAGGGGTTAAATCCTGTTAAATCCACTCACGTTTGAGCCGTTCAGGAAGTTGCCGATGGCGAGCAGCGTCGACAGAATGAAGCGCAATGTCTTATTGTTCTCCAGCTGATTCATGCCCTCCTTCAGGTCCTGTAGGGGCTCGGCCACTTCCTAAGAGATAGAGAGAGATAATGCGTTGTCAATTCACCTGTCCAATCACACGATCAGACTACAAGCCTCGGAAACAAAAGAATTTAATTCTTTAAAGCCCAGCAGAAAATCGTCCAATCAGGATTCTTCTCTCTGTGGTATCTAGGTAGATTCAGCTGAGCTGCTCTCCCATTGGTTAGGACTTCAGGAGCTGGACTGTGACCAACCAATCGCACTCAACCAAGAACATCACTCTAGACCTTAGAGAGTTCTAGATAACTGACGTGAATGCAGTGCTCTAAGCAGTCTAAGCAGGTTCCGGTTAGTTGTTAGGAATGTTAAACAGCAGCAGCTCTCTGCAGGACTCTGTACTGAAAGAGTCACTGTAACACTGATACACACAAGATCAGATATATGATAATGTCTGATACAGGATTCAGATAAAACAGATGGAACAACCATAACAAGCGTCAAATATCTGTATTTAATCTAGAAAGGCTAAGCATCCCATAATAGTGCTAGCAGAAATTAGCATTATCAGAGGGGCAATTTTTGTACTAATAATTATGGTTTGACACTAAGAAAGCTCACTAGCTAGTAGCCACAATGCTACATTAAGGGTTGTTTTGAACGTTTAGGACGATCTAATTACATCACATATGGATGAGTAGCTAATCAGCTAGCTAGGAAAAGCAGTTACCTTAATTAGCTAACATACTATTAGAAATCCCACAGGGGTGCTAGCTTATAATAAGCACCATCATAGAGATGTTTCCTGTTTTATTCACCAGTGTTTGATATGTGTAGCCCTGGAAGCCTCGCACTAACGGTTACGCACTGACACTGATTAGCATCACAACCAGGACAGCCACACTGCGAACAATAAAGCCTTGAAGGCTCGGGATGAGCTCATTGATTAGATAGTCAGGATGAGCTCATTGATTAGTTAGTCAGGATGAGCTCATTGATTAGATAGTCAGGATGAGCTCATTGATTAGTTAGTCAGGATGAGCTCATTGATTAGATAGTCAGGATGAGCTCATTGATTAGCTAGTCAGGATGAGCTCATTGATTAGATAGTCAGGATGAGCTCATTGATTAGCTAGTCAGGATGAGCTCATTGATTAGTTAGTCAGATGAGCTCATTGATTAGCTAGTCAGGATGAGCTCATTGATTAGCTAGTCAGGATGAGCTCATTGATTAGCTAGTCAGGATGAGCTCATTGATTAGCTAGTCAGGATGAGCTCATTGATTAGCTAGTCAGGATGAGCTCATTGATTAGCTAGTCAGGATAAGCTCATTGATTAGCTAGTCAGGATGAGCTCATTGATTAGCTAGTCAGATGAGCTCATTGATTAGCTACTCAGGATGAGCTCATTGATTAGCTAGTCAGATGAGCTCATTGATTAGTTAGTCAGGATGAGCTCATTGATTAGCTAGTCAGGATGAGCTCATTGATTAGCTAGTCAGGATGAGCTCATTGATTAGATAGTCAGGGTGAGCTCATTGATTAGTTAGTCAGGATGAGCTCATTGATTAGCTAGTCAGGGTGAGCTCATTGATTAGCTAGTCAGGATGAGCTCATTGATTAGTTAGTCAGGGTGAGCTCACTGATTAGCTAGTCAGGATGAGCTCATTGATTAGCTAGTCAGGGCAGTAAAGTGGGCTTTTTAGAAAAACACTGTGGCTTGGTGATGCTGAGCTGACCGATAGATCACACTGAAGAACGGCCGGTGTCGAGACGTGGCGACTGACCTTCTCTAAGACGTCGTAGTCCATCTTGAAGGCCCAGAGCTGCAAGCGTGCGGTCAGTTCGCTGATGGAGGAGAGCGTGAGGAGGAACTGCTCAGCGCTGCCCAGAGGAGTGTCCGGGTTCACCAGCTGAGCTTCCTGGATCTTCTGCTTCTCCTCTTCCGTAGGAATCATTGTCAGGATTTTCTACAGGAGAGAAAGAGAGAGAGAGAGAGAGATAAAGTGGAGAGTGGGAGAGAGAAAGAGAGAGGGAGGGAGGAGAGAGAGAGGGAGGAAGGAAGGAGAGAGAGAGAGAGAGAGGATACAAAGAGAAATATAAGAGAGAGAGAGAGAGGGAGGGTCGGAGTGAGAGACAGAGAGAGAGAGGGAGAGGAAAGAGAGAGGGGAGAGAAAGAGAGAGGGAGAGAGGGAGAGAGAGAGAGGTAGAGTGAGAGAGATAGACAGAGAGAGAGTGAGAGAGGGAGAGAGAGAATGAAAGTGAGGGCAGAGAAAGAGAGAGAAAGTAAAAGATGTGACTTACAAAGCAGGTATAAAAATAAAAATATAACAATATAATAAAAAGAAGCTTTTTGAGATAAATAAATAAATAAATAAATAGACGTCAGCATAAATAACTGCGTGATCATCAGCGAGGGTCTCTGAGGGGAGTTTTTTACAGTGATTTTCCCATTAAATCTCTAACAGACTGAAAAACGACACCACCCAGATTAAAACCCGTCAACACACTAATAAAGGGATGATCTGAGTGAGTAACGGGGGTGATCTGTATGAGGGAGGTCACAGATATGAAGCACTGATACTGATCTTCATTAGAATATCATTCTAAAAACACTGTGTACTTTTCTAAACTTCAACACTGATACACAGACATGATGATGCTACGAGGCTCACAGTGATCAAACGATCTTATACACGTGTTTATAACCGTTCATCGTTTTATTGATTAATCACACAGTTACAACCAAACATGAACTGAGAGTACAGCTCAGTTACACACGCTAGCCGAGCTCTGTTTATGGAACTTTAATTCAGGAGAACCTTCTCCATATGATCGGATATCATCGATGATGAACAAGGAACCTGATGGCGATTAATAAACGGTGATTATCGCTGTTTTGGTAAAAGACCTGAGAGAGAACTGAGGAGGACTAATCTACTTTATTAATTTACTTCATGTGAATGGAACTGAAAATGAACGCTGATGTGCTTTGGATCTTCAGTTCGCCTCAAAGTGACTCACTGCAGTAAAAAAACGATGAAGTGATGAAAGAGTGATGATGATAACGGAGCATTTTAATACGAAACATATGAGGATCATGTTATTCTAAGAGCCTGTAAAGGAAATCGAGAGAGCCATGGAAAAAGGTGCAGATAACTTTTCAAGTACTGATGTTAAATATCACAAATAAATATTCTGTGGTTTAATGAGTTTAACTACCAAAACAGAAGATTTGTGTGGTGTTATGGCTCACTGATTGGTCACAATGACATCGTTACCTAAAAGCACAAATCTAATCTGAGATGGTCAGTCAGTTTCTTTGATGACCCCAAATATCACCATAACACAGCTGAGCCTTCAGGTTATAAAACAGAGTGAACTCGGAGGAATTCCAGGTCACCTCTATGCCCTCCTTGTTTAGCGCGTACTCGTCGAAGTTCAGGATGGCTGTTTTGATGGTGCGAGGCGGCGGGAGGACCGTCAGCCCGATGTTGATGGCGTTGCTCCTTTTGGAGTCGAGAACGATGATCTCCTGCCGTTTCCCGTCTGCTGCTGTTTTCTAAAAGCAGCAAGAAACACAACACAGGTCAGCATCTTAAAAGCAGCACAGGCCACTGAGCTGCACTGGTGTCCAAAAGTTTGGAGTGTTCAAAAGTTTGGAATCACTGTCCAAAAATTTGGAATGTTCTCAAGTTTGGAATCACTGTCCAAAATCAGGAATGTTCTAAACTTTGGAATCACTGTCCAAAATTTGGAATGTTCTAAAGTTTGGAATCAACGTCCAAAAGTTTGGAGTGTTCAAAAGTTTGGAATCACTGTCCAAAAATTTGGAATGTTCTCAAGTTTGGAATCACTGTCCAAAAATTTGGAATGTTCTCAAGTTTGGAATCACTGTCCAAAAATTTGGAATGTTCAAAAGTTTGGAATCACTGTGCAAAAGTTTGGAATCACTGTCTAAACTGTGGAATGTTCTAAAGCTTGGAATCAATGTCCAAAAGTTTGGAGTGTTCTAAAGTTTGGAATCACTGTCCAAAAGTTTGGAGTGTTCTAAAGTTTGGAATCACTGTCCAAAAGTTTGGAGTGTTCTAAAGTTTGGAATCACTGTCCAAAAATTTGGAATGTTCTCAAGTTTGGAATCAATGTCCAAACGTTTGGAATGTTCAAAGGTTTGGAATCACTGTCCAAATGTTGGAATCAACAGTATTAGGAGCATCTAGTTTGCCAAACTGTGAAGATTCTGAGGGAGCACTGACAGCATTTTACTACTCACTCAAATCCCCCTGGAAGAAGTATATTTTTCCTATATTTTATCCGGCTGTAGCACTGCAGAGTTCACTATGTTGGCCACCTGGCTGCACGTTCTTTGTTACTGTGATTTAAAGCTGATTCAGAGTCATTATGTTAACTTTTATTCCATTTCTGACATCACAGAGCTCCACTATCACCATCTGAGACATACAGTAAGGGCACAAGCTAATACCTCACCCGCTTCCCATAACAGGTTTGCTGACTGCCGGCTAACTGTTGTGATATTCATCTACCGTTCCACACCCGAGATTATAAAAAGGTTCCAGTTAGTCCTTCCCGAGGACTAACCTGAAATGAATGGGAACGGAATTTCTTTAATGTGGGTAATTAGTGAAAACGTGGCTTCCTGAGATATGAATACCAACGGGAGCTACGCTACGCGCAGCTAGCTTAAAAGACACGCAAGCACCTGAGGGCTATTTTGGGACTTTGATGGGGAGTATTTCTGGAGCTGGGGAGCAGAGATGGTGCAGGGTTTTTTGTGTGTTGCCAAACAGAGGGAGGAGAGCGGGAGTTAGGAATGGGGCCGAAATGAGAAGCAGCTGGCGAGGCTGGTTTTGGGTAGACGGAGGGAAAAGCCCTGACCAGGCCACAGCGGAGCCATCAGCACTGGATGCCTTAAAAAAAAAACCCAGAGGACTATATTTCGTCCTCTTCCTAGTAGAATTGTAATTTCCAGGGCCTTCAAGGCCTTCAGAGAAGGACTACTGACTTCTGGGAAATAAAAAATACATGTCTATGAATTTAGTTTGTTTTATTTAACAGATTTATTTAAACTCTGTGGTGATACTTTTATTTCTTTGAATTGCTTTGGTTGGAAACAAAAGGGAATAAAAACCTGACCCAGCCAATAAACTGTCCAATCAGGATTGTTCTCTCTGTGGTATCTAGGTAGATACAACCAACCAAGCTCTCCTGTCGGTTAGTTAGTTAGGGTTAGTTAAGGTGTTGCTAGGTTGTTGCTATGGTATCCTAAGTGGTTGCTAAAGTGTTGCTAGATTGTTGCTATGGTATTCTAAGTGGTTGCTAAGGTGTTGCTAGGTTGTTGCTATGGTATCCTAAGTGGTTGCTCAGGTGTTATCCTAAGTGGTTGCTAAAGTGTTGCTAGATTGTTGCTATGGTATCTAAGTGGTTGCTAAGGTGTTGCTAGGTTGTTGCTATGGTATTCTAAGTGGTTGCTAAGGTGTTGCTAGGTTGTTGCAATGGTATACTAAATGGTTGCTCAGGTGTTATCCTAAGTGGTTGCTAAAGTGTTGCTAGATTGTTGCTATGGTATTCTAAGTGGTTGCTAAGGTGTTGCTAGGTTGTTGCTATGGTATACTAAGTGGTTGCTAAGATGTTATCCTCAGTGGCTGTTGCTATGGTATCCTACGTGGTTGCTAAGGTGTGGCTAGACTGTTGCTATGGTAGCCTAAGTGGTTGCTAAGGTGTGGCTAGACTGTTGCTATGGTATTCCATGTGGTTGCTAAGGTGTTGCTAGATTGTTGCTATGGGATCCCAAGGTGTTGCTAAGGTGTTTCTAGGTTGTTGCTATGATATTGAAGGTAGATGCTAAGATGTTGCTAGGCCGCTGCCATGTTATCCCTACGTGGTTGCTAAGGGGTTGCTAGACTGCTGCTATAGCATCCTGTTAAGGTGTTGCTAGGCCACTGCTACATTAAACAAGGTTGTTGCTAAGGTGTTGCTAAGCCCTTGCTATGGTATCCCAGGTGGTTGCTAATGTATGTGTGTATATCTGTATGTAATGTCTGTGAGGGTCAGTGTGACCCATTTGTGGCGATTTGAACTTTCTGAATATTCCACCATTCATTTACTATGAAAATTAAATCATATTTAAATGAATGCTGTATGAAAACCGTTCGTGCTATCGGTCCCAAAAGCACATATGCACTACTCGTGTATAGTCTCTACAATTGTGCAAACATACGTGGTTCTAGCCCAAAAACTCCACATAAAAAGCGTAGAATAACAAAAATAAGACGATAACAAAGAACAGTCTGTTGGCTTTTTGAATAAATAGAAAATTAAGGTCAGGAAAGACAGTGAAGTTCACGGTTCCACAGTGAAGAACACACACCATCCATAACAGACCGTAGATCTGAGTGATGTTGAAACGTGAGCGTAAAAGGCCCAGCGCTTCTGGAGTCACGGCTCGGTCACGTTCAAAGTGGCAGGAGGGCTTTATACAGTCCAGACTGCCTCTCTGATGGAGCTTTAAGATAATACAGGAGATCCATCAGAGCCAATCAGCCAGCCTTGTACCACCACACTGACCTGAGTCTGCTTCAAATCCCGCATGTTCACGTGACGGGGAACGGACTGCGGTGACAATCCTGAGCCATAATGCGCACCATGTGTTTCACCTGAAAACTGCCTGAAAAACGTCACCAGTAAAGAAAAGAAACACTGCCTGTGCTCGGTTCTGACAAAAACACCTAGAACAAACAAAATCACCAAGAAAGATCAGTGAGTAGCCAAAAGATCACTGACATACAGGTCTAATGAGTGAGGAAACTGACAGCAGGGGAGGGACTTCAAGGGGAAATTCACTGACATTTCAAATTTCCTCCATAATTAAACAGTTAAAGACGTAAACAGAGTCGTTCAGAGTCGTTCAGAGCGGTTTGGTTTCTAGAGAAACTTACCGAGTCAGAACTGTTCACAGTGGTGGTGATAGGAACCAGACGTCCACCTCTAAAAGCTCCCTCACAGAAAGTTCCTACATGAAATGGTTATGAATTCACTGCCTGATGACTGAGACACTGTTTTATGATAGTTTTAAGAAGATTTTGGCCTTAAACTCCATTCATGGTGGAGGGATACATAATATGCAGGGTGATGTGAGGCAATTACCATCTTACCATACCATATACCAGATACCATAGCAACCATCTTGCAACACCTTAGCAACTGCCTAGCAACACCTTAACCACCACCTGGGATACCATAGCAACCGCCTAGAAACACATTAGCAACCACCTGGGACACCATAGCAACTGCCTAGCAACATCTTAGCAATCAACTGCTATATCATAGCAACCGCCTAGCAACACCATAGCCACCACCTGGGACACCACAGCAATCACCTGGGATACCACAACAGCTGCCTAGCAACACTTAAGCAACCATCCGGGGTACCATTGCAATTGCCTAGCGACACCTTAACAACCACCTGGGACACAACAGCACCCATTTAACAACACCTTAGCAACCACTTTGGATATCTCTCAAAAATGGACAGTGGGCTTGGGCAGATAATAGCGAGAGGAAATGCTGCCTGACCGGCATATTGGTGCCATCTGCAGGGCAGAGTTGCGTTTTTCCCCATATATTTCCTTATTTATTCCTCATAATTTTCTCAGGATAATTACTGCAGAATAATTGTCTCGGGATAACTCCTGAATAACTACCTCAAGATAATTATCTTGAGATAATCTTGAGATAATTATCCTGAGATAATCATATAGAGGTAAGTAATTTGAAAAAAAAATCTATGATAATTTCAAAAGCAAGAGGTTTTTTTACCCATTATAGAAAATTCCATGTCATTTTTTTCTCCATGTCCTTTCGAGGGCTCTGTAGGAAGAACCTGCTGAATTTATGAATGTTTTCTGTTCAGCGGCTGCATCTCACTCTGAAAGGCTTATCTAAAGAGACGCAACTGCTTTCTAAAGGCGTTTAGCTTGATAAACAAACGTTTCAGACTGATAAAGCCACCGCGTGGAAAGCCAGAGCCAGTTTATATCCTCAGTGAGAGGTGAGATCCTGAGAGCTGTGGTGGTTTTAGCGTGTAGATTACATCAGACAGTCTGTGCTGTTCTGGTGAGTCTGTGAGACTGAAACTCACTGAAACACAACAAAAACTCTTCTGCAGTGAACATCTGACACCTGAACCGCTGCACCTGCCCAGCACCTATCAGCAAGCTACGAAATACTTTTCACAATTTAAATGACGACTCGTCGACCAGTCAACTACTTTTTTGAATGACTAGCTGACTATTAAAAATGAATAGCTGTGCAGCGTCTATTAGCCTGTTTGAATATTGATGTCCACCACAATATAAAAGTCAACATCACTGCTCTCCAGTTGCAGTTTGTTTACCTTTGTAACAGGAAGCTCCTTGGACTTGGTCTCGAAGAGGTGCTCCAACTTGGCCGTGTCCAGTTTGACCGGGTCCAGTTTGGTCCACAGTGACTCCTTGCAGTGCTTATGGCTGCCGCACTGCCAGTCTGTGGGTCTAACCTCGTTCCAGAAGAGCCTGATGGTCTTTTTCTTCTTCTGGAAGAGCGGGGGTTCTCCCCGGCCATGCTGAGGGGATCCGAGATTCGAAGGTGACATTGGGGTCATGGAGGGTGGGGGAGGGGGTGGCATCATGCTTGGAACAGGAGGAGGAGGTGGGCACCCAAATAAGGGTGGAGGGGGCGGAAGGTTGGGTATACAAGGAGGTGGGGGAGGAGGGGGCAGGTGGTCACCTGACCCCATCATGTTCCCAACATCCAAAATGTCCACGTCGTCCTCCTCCCCAAGGTCCGTGAAGTCCATCTCTTTTATCCTGAGCTCTCGGGGGTGGCCATCAGCTGGTCCCAGATGTGGTCCGACTCCTTCTTGGCTGGCGCAGGTGCAGGTGTGGGGGATGGTGGTGGGGGCGGCGGTTTTTCCTTCCCGGCATGCTCTGCTTCATGAGACGAAGACAGTCCCTTCACCAAGTCTCCGAATTTCTCGGCGACGGCTCGCACGTTGCCCTGGTTGTCCAGGTGCTGCACTTCCATCTTCTTCACGTTCTCCTCGCAGGCCTGCCGCCGGGCCTCCAGTGTGGAGATTCGGCAGGCCAGGCTTGAGTCTCTCTCCTTCTCCCTCTCCTTCTCCTTCTCTTTCTCACTATCCTTCTCCTCCTCCTCCGATGCTACAGGCTTCTTGTTCTGGGTGTAGAGCATGTCCAGCATGAAGCGCTTGCTGTTGAGGACTTTGCCACATTGTTCATTGATCTCTGCAGTCTTAATGCAATCTGCCCACTGACCTGATGATAAGAGAGCAAAATACAGGTTATCCAGAGTTTTGCTTTCAAAAGCAGACGACACCATTAAAGTCCTCGTTGCAGAGGCACATATCAGTGGTGAAGTCTACCGCAGATGGATTTGTCGGCTATAACTGGGGTCAGACAGAATTTTGTTGGCTACAGTCGGTTCAGACAGAATTTTGTTGGCTACAGTCGGTTCAGAAAGAATTTTGTGGGCTACAGTCGGATTTAGACAGAATTTTGTGGGCTACAGTCGGATTTAGACAGAATTTTGTGGGCTACAGTCGGATTCAGACAGAATTTTGTGGGCTACAGTCAGATTCAGACAGAATTTTGTTGGCTACAGTCAGATTCAGACAGAATTTTGTGGGGCTACAGTCGGATTCAGACAGAATTTTGTTGGCTACAGTCGGTTCAGACAGAATTTTGTGGGGCTACAGTCGGTTCAGACAGAATTTTGTGGGCTACAGTCGAGTTCAGACAGAATTTTGTTGGCTACAGTCAGATTCAGACAGAATTTTGTTGGCTACAGTCAGATTCAGACAGAATTTTGTTGGCTACAGTCAGATTCAGACAGAATTTTGTGGGGCTACAGTCGGATTCAGACAGAATTTTGTTGGCTACAGTCGGTTCAGACAGAATTTTGTGGGGCTACAGTCGAGTTCAGACAGAATTTTGTGGGCTACAGTCGGATTCAGACAGAATTTTGTGGGCTACAGTCGGATTCAGACAGAATTTTGTGGGCTACAGTCGGATTCAGACAGAATTTTGTGGGCTACAGTCGGTTCAGACAGAATTTTGTGGGGCTACAGTCGGTTCAGACAGAATTTTGTGGGCTACAGTCGGTTCAGACAGAATTTTGTGGGCTACAGTCGGTTCAGACAGATTTTGTGGGCTACAGTCGGTTCAGACAGAATTTTGTGGGCTACAGTCGGTTCAGACAGAATTTTGTGGGCTACAGTCGGTTCAGACAGAATTTTGTGGGCTACAGTCGGATTCAGACAGAATTTTGTGGGCTACAGTCGGTTCAGACAGAATTTTGTGGGCTACAGTCGGTTCAGACAGAATTTTGTGGGCTACAGTCGGTTCAGACAGAATTTTGTGGGCTACAGTCGGTTCAGACAGAATTTTGTGGGCTACAGTCGGTTCAGACAGAATTTTGTGGGCTACAGTCGGTTCAGACAGAATTTTGTGGGCTACAGTCGGTTCAGACAGAATTTTGTTGGCTACAGTCGGTTCAGACAGAATTTTGTGGGCTACAGTCGGATTCAGACAGAATTTTGTGGGCTACAGTCGGATTCAGACAGAATTTTGTGGGCTACAGTCGGTTCAGACAGAATTTTGTTGGGCTACAGTCGGTTCAGACAGAATTTTGTGGGCTACAGTCGGTTCAGACAGAATTTTGTGGGCTACAGTCGGTTCAGACAGAATTTTGTGGGCTACAGTCGGATTTCAGACAGAATTTTGTGGGCTACAGTCGGTTCAGACAGAATTTTGTGGGCTACAGTCGGTTCAGACAGAATTTTGTGGGCTACAGTCGGTTCAGACAGAATTTTGTTGGCTACAGTCGGTTCAGACAGAATTTTGTGGGCTACAGTCGGTTCAGACAGAATTTTGTGGGCTACAGTCGGATTCAGACAGAATTTTGTGGGCTACAGTCGGATTCAGACAGAATTTTGTGGGCTACAGTCGGTTCAGACAGAATTTTGTTGGCTACAGTCAGTTTTAGACAGAATTTTGTGGGCTACAGTCGGATTCAGACAGAATTGTGTGGGCTACAGTCGGATGTGTAAAGTTCATGCTGTGGCCAGAAGATCATGTGGTGCTGGCCAGTCTTCTCTTACCTGAGTCACTGTCACTCATGAGCTTCTCTTCCCTCTCCTCGCGCTCCAGAGTGCTGCTGGCTGAGGAGATGCTGGAGGCAGAACAGTTATCTTTCTCATTCAGTTCCTCGTTCTGCCTCTCTTTCTCACTGAGGATGGCGCTCTCCTCCACCATCTGTTCTTTCTCTTGTTCCTCCTCCTCCTCTGCCTCCGTTCGTTCCTCCGTTCCTTCTTCCCTTTCCTCCTCTTCTTTCCCGGTCATGTCTTTCTCTCCTCTCTCCTCTTGTCCCTCCTGTTTCCCTCCATCTCCTGCTAGCTGCTCTTTCTCTGTTTCGTCCGGCCGTGTGTCGCTCTCCGTCTGAAGGAAGGACAGGGTTATGTCCTTCTCGTCCACAGGCTTCTGTTCTTCCTCTGGCTCGGAGGGAGGCTGTGCTGCTGTCTGCACTGGCTCAGCTTCTGAACAAACCAAAATAAACACACAAAAACAAAAAGGAACCCGTTACTGATATAACATCCAAGTTCCATGGAACTCTTTTCACAAACAAAGGTACATTTATAATCGGACTGACATCCAAAATAAATATGTAAATATTTAGAACTTTGAAGCTCTGTAAACTCCACTAATCACATCCTGATCGTCCACCACAATCAGCAGAGAAAACATCAGGGAGAACATTCCGAGTTTGTTTTCGGTTGCCAAGATGATCAAATGGGCCCTTATTATGATTGTTATTATTCTAAGTATTATTATTATCGGATCTTGCATGGTGCTCCCGGCATGGCAGCAAATTCTGCATGTATGCATGGTCCACAGAACGCGTTTCTGATAGAGCCCTGGCATCAAAGCATCTTATCTACTCCCACCATCATATGATGGCCTGGCACCGCTTATGGAGAGCGTCCTGACTGCTGATTGGTTAAATTCAAATCAGCGCAGAATTAAACCTATCAATCACAGAAGCAGAGGCCAGCAGAGCTGGTTTTTGTTGTGTTCACTGTAATGCAGGTGGAGTCGGTAGGTCTGTAAGTTATACTATAATTAATATTTAAAGTACAGCTGTGAAACAAATAAAACAACTAACTGCGATTAATCGCATTCGCTTGAGTAGTTAATCAAGATCATCACTTTCACTCGTGTAGTTAATCGTGATTATTAGCATTCGCTTTTGCAGTTAATTACCATAAATCACATTTGATTGTGTAGATAATCACGATTAATCACATCCGCTTGTGTAGCTAATCGTGATTAATTGTGTTCGATTGTGTGGTTACTCGCAATTAATCTCATTTGTTCCAACATTTCTCTGCAGATCTACAGAGCTTCAAACATCAGATATAGAGCGTTGATATCTCTGGTTTCCCGAAGTCTACAGTAAAAGTCCTGTGTGGTTGGAGAGAGAGCGGAACGCCCTGTAATCCTGTCCAGTTTGAAGCTGGTTACTCTTATACTGTCTGATTTTCACTGAGTTATGACTCTAAATTTCTCTGGCTCTCCGGACTGCAGTCGCTCGGGGGTCCGTATCTCTGGTTCCCTGAAGGCCAGCAATGTGATTCAGGGGTCGTTGGAAAGGGCACATCATGTTCTACTGACCTGTGGAGTTTGGCTTTGTCATGGATTTTTAAAAAAGTCTCTTGTTGCAAATCACTCCCTTCTCACATGACAGTGATGAGTCACAAAAACTTTAAAAAATCTGAAGTCGAACGGCTTCGAACGTGGATCAGATTTTATAAGTTACATTTTGATGCATTTCAAGTTTACTTTTATTGTTTTAATCGTGATGCAGGTAGAGTCAATAGGTGTATAAGCTACAGTTAGCGTCTCTATTTTAATACAAGCAAAAACATTTACACCAAATATATACAGTCCTGTCCATCAGACACCAGAGATTTAAAAAGCTGTTTTCTTTGGGGAGTAACATTCAAATAAACACAAAAGGCGTTAATACAGAAAGTAGTGCTTTTTATGTGTGTCAGTGTGATTGTTGCACCACTTCTCCTCAAAGAAGCTCAGTTTTATTTTGTATTTAACCGATATTTCCAGCTTTAACTAATCAATACTGAATATTACATTAATTCAGCTGTGCTGGTGGTCAGATTCAAAGCATACAATAGCTGGGAGCACCGAGCAGAAATGTGGAACCACTTTGGAACCAAGACTACTTTTTCCAGTTACTATTAACAGTATTTACGTTTATTTGCACTCATAAATGCACTTGTTGCCAAGTTAAATGGTTTTAAACATTGCGCTCATGTGCCTAAGGCTCGTGCACAGTACCGACACGGACAAAGCTCTTAGGCCCTGTTCTGCGGTGAATGCCTGCATGACTCCCCTCATTCCTCTATTACCGTAAAGCATTACAACATCTTCTGCTCTATATTTGGAAAAAGCAAACAAATAAAAGAAAGACAATCCCGGCGGATCATAGGGGATGACAAAACAAAGCAGATGATAGAATGCCTCAAAATCTTCAGGCCATATCTGCCCGGGCACATGCACACACGCTCAAGTACAAACAGGACCCAGCGCGAGTCGTCGGTACACGACGGTTCACGGCGCTTCTTCAGGCTGAAACGCAGCGCTGTGAGTTTACTCCACTCGCACGTGTACATCGGTTCCAGATGAGTGAAATATATCACATCAGAACGATTCTGTCCTCCGGTTCACTGGAAACTGGCCTTCTATCTGTGTCTTGTGTCATTTGGAGGGGAGCTGTAATGGATCTCAAACATTTGGGGTATTTATTTCCTCTGTAGGCTGGACGACTCCCTAAAAAACTCTGGCCACTTTTCTCCGCTCAAGTAAACTCCTGTCCATCATACTTACATGAAAAATGACACATTTACAGTTGGGCTGCTTTTTTTAAAGAGTTGTTCAATCTGACTAGGATATAATGCATAAGTAATACAGGTATGCAACTTTTATGAATTATTTAGTATCTATTGGTCAATATCTACTATGAATTATTACTATGAATTATTCATTATCTGCTATGAATAATTTAGCGTTGACTATGAATTATTCAGTGAAAACTGTGAATCATTCACTGTTTATTATGAATTATTCAGTTACAATTATGAACTATTCAGTAAATACTATGAATTATTTGGTAACTACTATAAATTATTCAGTATCCACTATGAATTATTCAGTATCTGCTATAATTATTCAGTAACTACTTTGAATTACTCAGTAACTAATATGAATTATTCAGTATCTACTATGAATTATTCAGTATGTGCTATAATTGTTCAGTAACTACTATGAATTGTTTAGCATCAGTGTGAATTATTCAATATTCACTGAATTATTCAGTACTTACTAGTATCTACTATGGATTATCCTGAATCTACTATGAATTACTCAGTAACTGCTATGAATTATTCTGTATCTATTATGAGTTATTCAGCATCTACTCTGTTTATGAATTACTATGAATTAGTCAAATGGGTCAACCGTACTGTATGCTGTGTTACTGAATCATCTAAATGTCAAGTTGTACATAAACTGTTTATGCAACTTGCAACCTGTAAGTAGTTGTGTGAAGTTTTTCCATGTGAAGCCAGACTCTGGTTAAGTGTGAGATTCTCTCCACCTCTTATTATGGGCTGCTTTCTCCGTCGGTCTGAGTGAATGTAGGTTAAAGGTAAGGGGATCAGGCCAGGCCGAGCTTCAGCTGATCCTTATCACAGTGAAACTAAAGCCAAGCGCACACAGCGTGACTGACGTATGGACACGGATCCAGAGGAGACGCAATGCCAGCTCTGGCTCCGGCTCCGGCTCCAGCTGTTACTGATGATCTATCATACAGATGTGGCATATCAATACAATTAAAGCTGCTTACTGAATGTTTCAGCTGATCGCTGCTTCGCTTTACAGGCTTCACTGCTGTGGCGATTAAGTAACACACTGTTAGTAACCTCAACCCCATTGAACACCTTTGGGATGAACTGGAGAGCCGACTGTGAGCCAGGCCCTCTCGCACAAATTCTCACAGACACTCTCCAACATGTTGTAGAAAGCTTCCCAGAAGAGTGGGAGCTGTTATAGACTCAACGGGGGGCAACTCAATATTAATGTCCATGGTTTTGGAAGGGGACGTTCAACAAGATCATGTAAGTGTGATGGTCAGGTGTTTTTGGCCATATAGTTTATAGTGTATATATATGTGTGTGTGTGTGTGTGGGTGTGTGTGTGTGTGTGTGTGTGTGTGTGTGATAAACTGACCTTGTGCGGAGTGTGTGTGAGTGTTTGTGTCCTCCTGAGGCTCCGTGGAGATGTGTGTGTGACAGCGTGTGGTGACGGGGGTCCGAGAGCTCAGGCTGAGTGTGATCTCTGTCCGTCCTCGTGGTGATGATGTCACGCGCTCCCTCTCGTACTCCTCCGCTGCCAGACGCTCCACTTGCTTATACCTTCAACCAGACACAACAGCCAATCAGCTTTCACAAGCCTTGTTTACACATTAAAAGGCCCATATCAGGGAATTCTCCTCATTTTTTCTTTAATTGATAGTTAGAGTGGTCTGGTGTGAAACGCTCTGTTGTTCACAGTGGTGGTGATAGGAACCAGACGTCCACCTCTAAAAGCTCCCTCACAGAAAGTTCCTACATGAAATGGTTATGAATTCACTGCCTGATGACTGAGACACTGTTTTATGATAGTTTAGAGAACTTAAACTCCATTCATGGTGGAGGGATACATGCAGGGCGCTGTGAGGCAAAATAGTCCCCAAAGAAAACGTATTATTTCAGATTTTCCACTATTTTCCATCATCAACATTCCATATAAACTCAGAAGACTCGTGTAGGTTCACTGGTGGTTCTGGATAGTAAATAAAATGTCCATATCTGTGTTGTAGTCATGGCGACCCCTGGTTCCTATCACCACCACTGTAAAGACATTTATAATCTGCTGGGTCTTCCTACTTGTTTATATTGCATTAGCAAGCAGTTAGCACTAGCGTCAGCTGTACCTGTAAAAAAGGCCAGACGTTTTACGTTTTCTTTAAAACGTAATAAAGTAATATTTCTGCCCTACTGGCTGAAGTGAAGTGGGCTTAAGTGGTTTAAACACAGTGCCATCTTTAGATTACCTGCTGTCAACCTACAAGTATAAGATGAAAACAAGACGCTAGATAAGATCTAGCATAAATAACGCAGAGCGGCCGCTCGCCGCACCTGCCACAGCGCTATCAGCAGCGCGGCTGTGTCTAACGGCGATTCCACAGCCTGTCCTGCTGCGTACGGACGTTTTAATCTGCAGCCATGTTTCACCTGCAGCCTGAGTTTCCATCTGCTGCTCGTTTCTCCGCAGCCTTCCACACGTCTCCCACCTCTGTTCCCATATTAACAGACCTTAGACACGGAACGGAACGCAGCCCGACTGCAGCAGCTTCCCCAGCCTGTATTACACATCTGGCCATCTCAACACCTCACCATCTCACTATCTCACCACATCTCACCATCTCACTATCTCACCATCTCATCATCTCACCATCTCAACATCTCACCATCTCAACATCTCACCACATCTTAACATCTCACCATCTCACCACATCTCACCATCTCACCACATCTTACTATCTCACCATCTCAACATCTCACCACATCTCACCATCTCACCATCTCACCACATCTCACCATCTCACCATCTCACCACATCTCACCATCTCACCACATCTCACCACATCTCACCATCTCACCACATCTCACCACATCTCACCATCTCACCATCTCACCACATCTCACCATCTCACTATCTCACCACATCTCACCATCTCACCACATCTCACCATCTCACTATCTCACCATCTCACCATCTCACAACATCTCACCATCTCACCATCTCAACACCTCACCATCTCAACATCTCACCATCTCACCATCTCAACACCTCACCATCTCATCACATCTCACCATCTCACCACATCTACATCTCACCATCTCACCATCTCACATCTCCACATCTCACTACATCTCACCATCTCATCATCTCACCATCTCACCATCTCAACATCTCACCATCTCACCACATCTCACCATCTCACCACATCTTACTATCTCACCATCTCTCACCATCTCACCACATCTTACTGTCTCACCATCTCACCACATCTTACTATCTCACCATCTCAACATATCTCACCATCTCACCACATCTTACTGTCTCACCATCTCACCACATCTTACTATCTCACCATCTCACCACATTTTACTATCTCACCATCTCAACACATCTTACTATCTCACCATCTCAACATATCTCACCATCTCACCACATCTTACTATCTCACCATCTCACCACATCTTACTATCTCACCATCTCACCACATCTTACTATCTCACCATCTCATCACATCTTACTATCTCCCCATCTCATCACATCTTACTATCTCACCATCTCACCACATCTCACCATCTCATCACATCTCACCATCTCACCACATCTCACCATCTCACCACATCTCACCACATCTCACCATCTCACCACATCTCACCACCTCATCACATCTCACCATCTCACCACATCTCACCACATCTCACATCTCACCATCTCACCACATCTCACCATCTCACCACATCTCACCATCTCACCACATCTCACCATCTCATCACATCTCACCACATCACCACATCTCACCACATCACCACATCTCACCATCTCACCACATCTCACCATCTCACCATCTCACCACATCTCACCACATCTCACCACATCTCAGCATCTCATCACATCTCACCATCTCACCACATCTCACCACATCTCACCACATCTCACCACATCTCACCATCTCACATCTCACAATCTCACCATCTCACATCTCACAATCTCACCACATCTCACCACATCTCACATCTCACAATCTCACCACATCTCACCACATCTCACATCTCACAATCTCACCACATCATCACATCTCACCATCTCATCAGTGTGAAGCACAGCTCTGAGTTTATACTGTGTTTGCTGTATATACTGTACCTTTCTTCACGAGCGTGTCTGACTTCCTCTCTCTTCTCCACATAGTCACGGCTGAAACGAGAGAAAGGATCAATTCAGCACCATCTGATCTGTAAAGCTGCTTATCTGAGCAGTAAACAATTAAAAAGGGTAACATTAAAAATAAATACAAATAAACGAATAAACAGTTCATTGTGATTGATCTGTGTGAGTTTGTTAGCTTAATCACTTCCAAATCTCCCCTGGAGAAAGTCCTGTATTTACACTTACCACCCAGTATCTGCTTTATCTGATCAATACTTCAGTTAAATTAACTATTCATAACTTAACACCACATTCTGACTCCTGACTACTGTATTTATGTTTATTCTAATGTTATATTTTGTTTTTACTTTGCAAACTCACTGACAGCCCAGAGTAACCGTTTCAAAAGCTTAAAAAGTTAAAAAATAAATAATAACAACAAAGTAAAATTAAGTAAACATAAAAAGATCCAGTGAAAACAAATAAAATTGGTTGCAATATAAATTTATACAAAAGCTCACATAATATGTTTCATGTCAAACTTCCATGCTAATTGGTGGGGTATTAGCTTCCTTTGCTCGTTAGCTACATTAGCCATTAGCTCCTGCGCTAAAACTAAAGAGGCACTGAACAGGTACTGGCTGATCTCCTACATTTGGATTAGGCTCGGTTTTTGGGACCTAGTCCTTTCACACATAGTGTGGCCCTTTAAAGACTGAAAATATATCCATCCATCCATCATCTAAACCGCTTATCCTTCTGGGTTGCGGTGGGGTGCTGGAGCCTATCCCAGCTGTCATTGGGCGGAAGGCAGGATACACCCTGGACAGGTCGCCAGTCCATCGCAGGGCAGACAGACAGACAGACAGACAGACATGCACATTCACACACTCACACCTAGGGGCAATTCAGCATGTCCAATCAGCCTGACTGCATGTTTTTGGACTGTGGGAGGAAACCGGAGTACCCGGAGGAAACCCACACAGACACGGGGAGAACAGGCAAACTCCACACAGAAATGACCCTGGTCACCCGGCCGGGAATCGGACCCAGGCCCTTCTTGCTGTGAGGCGACAGCGCTACCCACTGCGCCACCGTGCCTCCCCGACTGAAAATATACTACCACAAAATTAAAAGTTATTAAAAAAAGAATCAAATATTTGCACACAGTCTGTAAAAAAGAATAAGTAAATCAATAAATAAATAAAATAATTTTTTATAACGACAGTCAGTCTAAAGTGCCACCTTCACACATTACAGTACAAATGTCTCTATATATGACAGAGCGATCAATAACTGGCCCACCAAGGAAGTTCAATTATCCTAAGGCCCAAAAATGCAGACAACTTAAAAAAAACACCTCATGTAACGTTCAGAGCTCACAGAATGAGAACGTGAATAACTCAATTTTGACCAAACTGTCAGAACCTTATAATGCCAAGATGACGATATGAACTCCAAAGCTGAGTTCTTAGCAGAACTAATTAGACAAACCTCTCCGTCTAATTAGCGCCTCTTTTAGTAAACCTGCCCTTTAGTGTACGTCTGATATTTCATGATGCGTCTAATCATTTCCCAAAGGATTGTAATCAAACTGAATCAGAGATCAGAGAAGTAGGAACGCGTACTTGAAGCGGGTTCTCTCCTCGCGCTCGATCCTGTGCAGCCTCTCCTCTCTCTCCAGCCTCCTCCTCTCTCGCTCCGCAGCCAGACTCTCCTGATGCTGCCTGTAAGAGGAGGTCAGCAAACCCCCCAGAGCCGGCCTGGAACACCAGAGACAGCAGGTCAGCACCAGAACACGGCACTGTGTTAGTGCATGCACATAAATATATCAATCAATCAATCAATCAACCCTTATTTTGACCCTGAAAAACGCTGAGGGTGACCCTCATTTACAGCGTAGCCCAGCGAGTTACACAGGGACTGAAATTTATCAACTAAAACAAATGAAAATCAGCCAGATGGGAAGATTTATGAAGAAATAAAAATAAGAAACTTAAAATCACAATAAAACATTTAATAAAACACATCAGAAGTGAGTAGAAGAACCAGCTAAGATAATAAGCAGCTGCAATAAAATAGTGAGATAAAATAAAACCAAAAAAAATCATAAAATTCACCACCACTGTGAAGAAATCAGAACCGTCTCACACCAAACCACTCTGAACCACTCTGTTTACACCTCACACACTCAGTTATGGAGAGATTTTGGAAAAATGTCCCTGTAAGTCATCAATATAGACTCAATATAGACTCCTATCACTTTACACGTTAGCCTTGTAGCTCCAGAGCTAAAACTGAAGGAGAGTTCAAACACCAATCGATCGACTGCATTCGGGGTATTAAACTGTCCTAATGTGGTGTTTTGTCTGAACTATCACTCTCAGGCCTTTAACCTCTTTAATACTCCGGTGAAAGAGTGGGGGGGGTCACCTGTCAGGTTTTCCGTCTGCAGGTGGGCTTCCTGTAGAGATGAAGCGGCCGAAGGGGGTTGAGGGGGCGCTGGATACGCCGGATGATCTGCCGGGGAAGGTGGCCGCGTAGCCGTTCTGCCTGCTGAACGAAGACGAGAAAACCATCATCATCCACCACTCGACCCCAACGCTGACCTCTACAGGTCAATCAACAGTCAATTAAACAGCCAGATAATAAGAAATGCAGCAATAATGAGGCACGAGAAGCAAAAGGATGAGGTGATTTACACGTTTTTCCTTCTTCACTTCACAAGCAAAGCACACCAATCAAGCACTGAAGGATACAAAAGTGCTACACAGATGACGACACATCCAATCAGTACGACAGACACGGCACAAAACAGCGCCCCCTGTGAGCAGCCCGCTATCAGGCCTCGCTCCCCAAGCACAAAAACTCCTCTGCACACTGAGCTGTGCTGCAGGATCCATTAGGAGTGTGTGGAGGATGACAAAAGACAATCTTTTTCCCAGTTCAGAATTCCGTTTCCCAAAACAGAGCCCTGCAAAACATGACTCTGCACAGGGAACGTCTCCCAGAGGGTCCTAAAGGGGCCGTCCTTAATGCCTTTCTGCTTTCAGCTACAGGGTTCTGCCTGAGTTCACTACCGACAGTCAAGTAAAGAACAACGTTGCTCATTTTGGGGCCGGATTCACAAAAATGTCTTAAGGAAGAAAATCTTCTTAAATATGTGTTTTTGATTAACTTCACTCTTAAGAAAAACGTTGTGAAACATTGTTATTCCTTAAATAACCTCTTACGAATTCTTAGGAACTTCTTTCTTAGGAATAATTTTAAGAACAAGCGCAATTCTTGGAAACGTTATGTTCTGAAATGTTTTCTTTTCCTTGCGGCAGCCTCTCACTCGTCTCAGGCGGTAAGAGTTGATGAGTTTGATCTAAATCAGTTATCAGACTCAGCGCTGCCTCGGCTGCTCCTCATCCTCGACTCTCTTTCCACCGTCACTCCACAGTTATCGTATCTTCTAAGGAGGATTTTTTCCTGTTGGCTGTTTCTTCCTCCATCAGCTTTAGATCTTGTTTGCTGAATTTTTTCAAACACTTGGTTTGATGTTTTTCTTCCATTTTGCTCTCTGAGCAGATTAAACTAAATAACGGAAAAAAATATTAATACAAATTCAAATATATTTCATGCAGTTAATCCACATAACACAGCCTACGCAAGAAAAAGCAATGAAGATCTTCAGAACATCTTAAAGAAATAATTAAGATTTTTTAGGAGAAAATTTGAGAACTTCTTAAGTTTATGTCAAGAACTGCATTTAGGAACGTTCTTAGGAACTTCTTAGTGTTTGTCTTAAGAACCTTCACAAGTTTCTTCTTAAGACAGTTTTCGTGGATCCGGCTCCTGGTCCTCTGTCGGACTGAGTTGGGTGATCATAAGAAGCTGATCGTCTTTCCTCGCCAATAGCGGGGCCGGTTCCAGCCTTTCGGGGGCCCTAAGCAGGATTTTAATGTACTACACTCTTAAAAAAGACAGTTCTTCAATGGTTCTTTAGTAAAGACAGTGAACCATCAACATTCAAACAATTTACACGCTTAAATGGTTCTTTCGCCTGGTGAGAATGATGGAGAATGTGTTCTGCATGATTCTACAGAGAACCCTTCTGAAAAGGGTTCTGCTATTGTCACAAGCCAGACATCATCAGAATAGCGGAACCCTTTTTTGGTGCTTTATAGAACCAACACGTTCTCCATCAGTCTGAAGAACGCATACATGATGCAAAGAACCCTTTAATCATGCAAAGGGTTCTTTGAGTATTCATGGTTCTGTATAGAACCATTTTCTTTACTAAAGAACTCATGAAGAAATGTCTTATTAAGGTGAAAGGACCTGTGTATTATTCAAATATAACTGGTTAATCATCAGATCACATAACTTTAGCATCAAAGGGATCTTTTTAATACTTGACAGCCGCTTTAATAAAGAACCTCACAAAGACGTGAAGTGGTCAGCAGCATCAGACCGCTGGTTCAGTTCAGTCCATTAATAACTGGATGAAGAAGATTGTCTGTGGTGATCTCTTATCATGCTCCTGCCTAGTCCACACTGTGGAAGGGCAGCTCCACCCATTTTATCAACATTTATGAATAATTCAGATATGTAAACAGAGAGATTCAGAGTGGTTTGGTGTGAATGGTTCAGATGTCTTTACAGTGGTGGTGATAGGAACCAGGGGTCGCCATGACTACAACACAAATATAGACATTTTATTTACTATCCAGAACCACCAGTGAACCTACACGAGTCTTCTGAGTTTATATGAATGTTGATGATGGAAAATAGTGGAAAATCTGAAATAATAAGTTTTCTTTGGGGACTATTTTGCCTCACAGCGCCCTGCATGTATCCCTCCACCATGAACGGAGTTTAAGTTCTCTAAACTATCATAAAACAGTGTCTCAGTCATCAGGCAGTGAATTCATAACCATTTCATGTAGGAACTTTCTGTGAGGGAGCTTTTAGAGGTGGACGTCTGGTTCCTATCACCACCACTGTGAACAGTTCTGACTCGGTAAGTTTATCTAGAACAGCGTTTCACACCAAACCGCTCTGTTTACATCTCAACCACTTAACTATGCAGAAATTTTGGTAAGTCAGTGGCATTCCCCTTTAAGGCTCAGTGAAACAGACCTATTCTTATACACAGCAGAGTTTCCATGTAAGACCACCTCGCTGTTTGGACCCTGCTGGAGCCTTACCTGCCGACACTAAGAGTGGCTCTGGACGCGCATGTGGAACAGGGCGTGTTTAAGTACCTAACATCCGAGAGACTGAGCAGAGGAGACAGAATGTAGGAGAGAATGAGGTTAGGTCAGATTACATGCTGAACAGATGGATTACTCAGAGGTTTAGTGGAGTATAACAGCAGAGGAGATGAAAGAGGGACTGAGGGACAGAAGCAAAGCATGCGTAAAAAAAGTGAATCAAAGGCAGATTTTTAACTCTTTTCAGACTCTTTTTTAAGAAAGTCTCATTCAAACTCTTTCATAACAATGAAACTTAAAGGGCCCATATTCTGGTTTTACAGTCATGTGCTGTATTTGTAATGTTTGCACTGAAAAACTTAATGATCAACAGTTTAGTTTTAACATAAGCAACCTGCTGTAGCTGAATGGTGGGGCTGAACTGCTGTAGGCTGAATGGGTGGGGCTAAACTGCTGAATGGTGGGGCTAAACTGCTGTAGGCTGAATAGGCGGGGCTAAACTACTGTAGGCTGAATGGGTGGGGCTGAACTGCTGAATGGGTGGGGCTAAACTGCTGAATGGGTGCGGCTAAACTGCTTTAAGTAAAATAAGTGCAGATATGTAAACATGTTTATGGTTCTTATATATTGCAGCCTGAGTGGGCGTAGCCAAGCTACTGTAGGCTAAACAGACATGGGGATTTATAAATCTTTATGACATCACAAACCATGATGTAATCTAAAAACAAGCTGTTTTGGCAGATTAATCTCTGTGTATGGTCTGGGGAGGGGGTGGTATATTTTGAACATTTAATAACAATGTTTATATAGAATTTCAACCTTTAGAATATCAAAATTCGTTTTTTTCCACTATATGGGCCCTTTAATGCTGGCAGGTCATCAGACAGAAGAAGTATTACGTTCTCATTTAGTGGAAGAGCTTAAATAAGCGAACAGTCGGCGAATCAGGGCTCAAATAATGTCAGTGATTTAACATGTTTATAACGGCCTCCTGTACAGAGGAGCCACTGCAACCTCGATTCACTTTGTTTGGCAGAGAAACTGCAGCCATAATGGAAGAAACATGCCGGAGCCGCCCCACCCCCACACCCTCCCCCCCAAAAGCGCTCTAATCTTCAGACAGAGGCCTGAAGGATTCCCATCCAATACATTTCCCTCTATACCCGCTCTAATTTACTGCCTCGCCTCGCCTTTGGAGTGATACGATGCAGCGATAAAAGGCAGATGAGTTGTAAATGTCAGGAGAAGTTAGCATCCCTCTGGGAGCAGCTGCACTGCAGTGTAGCTGGATCACGGAAAAGGAAAGCTTTGTGTTCGAAACCTTCAGTCTTTTTCCACTCCAGCAAACACAGAGACACGGAGAACATCGCATTTAGTGGGCCAGAACCATTTTTTCATTATTAACCATAGAACTGCACACCACTGTTAATTAATACGCACTAACAGGGCACTTTACAGGGGCTCACACGAGCCTGACACTGAGGAACACGTGGAACAGATATTGTGCAGGCTTGATGAAAATGGTAGAACAAAACCCCCAACCTTCAGACGAGAACCACAGACCTGTTACATTTGTTAAAATTCAGTGTGTGAGGTTTAAACAGAGATTCAGAGTGGTTTGGTGTGAAATGGTTCAGATGTCTTTACAGTGGTGGTGATAGGAACCAGGGGTTGCCATGACTACAACACAAATATAGACATTTTATTTACTATCCAGAACCACCAGTGAACCTACACGAGTCTTCTGAGTTTATATGGAATGTTGATGATGGAAAATAGTGGAAAATCTGAAATAATAAGTTTTCTTTGGGGACTATTTTGCCTCACAGCGCCCTGCATGTATCCCTCCACCATGAATGGAGTTTAAGTTCTCTAAACTATCATAAAACAGTGTCTCAGTCATCAGGCAGTGAATTCATAACCATTTCATGTAGGAACTTTCTGTGAGGGAGCTTTTAGAGGTGGACGTCTGGTTCCTATCACCACCACTGTGAACAGTTCTGACTCTAGAACGGAGCATTTCACACCAGACCACTCAGAACAACTCTGTTTTGGTGAATCTTAATCATCAAAATATTCCCCTTTAAGTCCAGTATCACCGTAGTTGACCGTAACTGCTGGAGTCTGAGACGTATGACGGGCATACACAGTCTGTGTCTGAACCCTGATCAGCCCATATTTGGGAAGGTCCTCACCAGCATCAGTGTGGTGTAACTCACACTAGCGCAATGATTCCTGATCCAAACATGCGGCTTTGTCAAATATCCAAGACTCTGACGGGAATTAAAATGATAGTTCAGCCAAAAATCCAAGGCACCCAGCTTTGCCCCCAGATCAGACACATCTGATCAGTCAGGACATGTTTGGTGTCTGAGCCTGATTCACTCCTGCTGCCTCTGTGTGGTTTCGTTTGCCATGTAAACAGATTAAAGTGATCATACGGCCTAAATGACCAGCTGTAGCAGCGCCGGATCCACAGTTTCGGCATCAAGACTTTTTTTTCTGCTTGCTACATACAGCAGTCGGCACAGTGCAGCCAAACCAACGATGAACTCCGATCAGCCATAACATTCTGACCATCTCCTTGTTTCTACGCTCATTGTCCATTTTATCAGCTCCACTTACTATATAGGTGCACTTTGTAGTTCTACAGTTACAGACTGTAGTCCATCTGTTTCTCTGATACTTTGTTAGCCCCCTTTTACCCTGTTCTTCAGTGGTCAGGACCCCCATGGACCCTCACAGAGCAGGTACTATTTGGGTGGTGGGTCATTCTCAGCACTGCAGTAACACTGATGTGGTGGTGGTGTGTTAGTGTGTGTTGTGCTGGTCTGAGTGGATCAGACACAGCAGTGCTGCTGGAGTTTTTAAACACCTCAGTGTCGCTGCTGGACTGAGAATAGTCCACCAACCAAAAATATCCAGCCAACAGCGTCCTGTGACCACTGATGAAGGACTAGAGGATGACGAGCACATACTGTGCGGCAGCAGATGAGCTATCGTCTCTGACTTTACATCTACAAGGTGGACTGACAAGGTAGGAGTGTCTAATAGAGTGGACAGTGAGTGGACACAGTGTTTAAAAACTTCTATTGAATTCGAGCTGCATTAACCTCGTAGCTCTTCTGCAAAAACCACCAAACCTGTCTACATTTGATCTGAGGAGGGAAACTTCGTAAATTTGGCTTTTGGCTGAACTATCACTTTAACATGTGAGTGGTGGGGGAGTGTGGGGGGTGGGGGGGGTCTGTACGTCTATCTGCTCTACCTGGAGCGCTTTTCCGCGTCTCGGCCCCGCTGGCCCCGAGGGGCCCCCACAGGCGCCTGGTCCGAGCCTGAGGGGCAGGAGGAGAGAGGGGGAGGGGATGGGGGAGGGAGCTGGGGAGGCGGGGTCTTCGCCGGGGGAGGAGGAGGCGGAGGAGGTGGCAGAGGAACCCCCACCGGGGAGGGCCCCCAGGGACCTGACGGAGGCCCAGGAGGAGAGGCCGGGGGACAGAGCGCAGTCGGGGCTTAACGGCGCTGGAGCTCTGCAGACGACTTTATCTCCCGCGCGGCCGGCGACGCTCACGCTGCGCCGGGGCTCACAGTCGGCAGCTCCGGCGAGGAGGAGCCCGGCCATGCATTTAACGGGCAAACACAAACTAGACGCCTCCTCTCTGATCGAGATAAGGAACGACAGAGCGGCTCAGCGTGGAGTTCAGCAGGAGGACCCACCATCAAACAAAGGTCTCAGGGCAAGAACTGCAGGTGTCAGTGAGCCCAGCTAACAAAGTGACGTCTGTAGGACGTTCTCTGAGGCCCTTTTAAGGTTGGAAGGATGTTATTTGTTATTTTTTAGGGATGGAGCCTTTACAACGTTCCGAGAATGTTCCACTAGCTTAGTACAGTCATTCCATTCCAAGAGCGCCATCTGAGTCCAGGTCAAAGCTCTTTGTTTATATTTACACTGATCACCTATAACATTAAAACTACACTCACTGTCCATTTTATCAGCTCCATTCACCATATCTACAGTTACAGACTGTAGTCATATATAAATATAGAAGATTGTTTAACTTATTCTTAGACGTTTCTACTTGTAGTAATTTTAATTAATTTTAATTAAATTTTAACTAATTTTAATTTTAACTAATTTCTACTTCTACTTGTACTTACTTTCTACTAAGCAATCAACTACAATGTCATTAAATAGAATCAAAATTTTGCTTGTTCTATGAAATCTGCTACAAACAAGCAAGACTTTCTGCCAATACAGAGAGATAATTATCTAAACACGTAAAAATGTCTAAAGATAAGAAAAATACTCATAATATTCCTGCGACCATCTCTACCTTGTTTGGGAATTGCAATGTTAGATACATCGTCTAGATCTGAGATCATTTCAGGTTCACAGAGCAGAACGTTTTGCAGCGTGTCCTTCATTACAGAGATGATGGGGGCGTAGCCTGAATGATTCCACCTTGATTTGGTAATTGAATGTAAATGAAATATGGAGGACAAACTTCATCCTTTCTTCTTTTTTATTCTTGGACTTGAAAATTTTCAAAACAGAATGTTTCTTTGGCACAATCTCATGGAATGACTCTGTATCGTGCGATTCAGCTCCAATCCTACTTCGTCTAAACCCCACTAAACATCATGCGTTCTGTTTCGGCTCATCGCTGCTGTCCAAAATAAAACATCCATTCAGAGTTTTAAACAGTGTCCAGGTCAGCTGCTCAAATGTTCAAATGATGTAGAAAATCAATACTTGATTTTTTTTGGACAGCAGCAAAATTTAAACAATTTCTGCAAAAATGGCTGGACTGAAAGTGTCCACCGCTTAAATGTCATCATTAATATTGTGCCATAAGCAGCTCACGATGATGGATTTAGTAAATAAAACATCATTTCAAGACACATTACAGATTTGTGTGGCACGACTAGACAGCTCTCAGACTGGCCCTACAGACGCTCTACAGATTTGTTTTTTTTTTTGCAATATTAATTTTCCAAAACAGAACGTCTGCTAAAGTTCAACAGGACGTCTGTTGTTAGCTGGGAGCACAAAAGCACAGCGGGTTCTA